CAGTTGCCTTAATATTCTTGGATGGAAATTATCCAGGCCCCCCAATTTAGTTCCATTAAGCTCTTTGAGTTGGACTTCCACGTCGGATGTGGTAACTTCTACTTCCATATACTTGTTCCCATTAGCTATCCTGCCACTACCCCGAAACTTCTCATTACCCTTACTAAAAACTGAGTATTCGTTTCAGTGTTGGGCCATACCTGGATTATCTTTAATCTCCACCCCATCCTCAGTGCTTAGTGGTCCCACATTTCTGTCCAGTTTTGGGGCCCCCACTACAGAAAGGATGTGGACAAATTGGAGAGAGTCCAGTGGAGGGCAATGAAAATTATCAGGGGTCTGGGGCACATGATTTACGAGGAGAGGCTGAGGGAACTGCGCTTGTTTAGTCTGCAGAAGAGAAGAGTGAGGGGGGATTTGATAGCAGCCTTCAACTACCTGAAGGGGGGTTCCAAAGAGGATGGAGCTCGGCTGTTCTCAATGGTGGCAGATGACAGAACAAGGAGCAATGGTCTCAAGTTGCAGTGAGGGAAGTCTAGGTTGGATATTAGGAAACACTACTTCACTAGGAGGGTGGTGAAGCACTGGAATGAGTTACCTAGGGAGGCGGTGGAATCTCCATCCTTAGAGGTTTTTAAGGCCTGGCTTGACAAAGCCCTGGATGGGATGATTTAGTTGGTGTTGGTCCTGCTTGTAGCAGGGGATTGGACTAGATGACCTTCTTTCCTTTTTATTTATATGGCTATAAAAAATTTTACTCTTGGTTTTAATTTCCTTTGCAAGGTCCAAGTTTAATTTCCTTTGCAAGGCAGTTCTCACTTGATCCCTACACTTTCTGACCTTCAAGAGGTAGCTTTCCTTCCTGATTCATCCATTCCTTGTTGGCTTTCCGCTTTCTCTTAATCACCTGTTTGAGATGTTTGGCTCATCCAGGTTGGTCTGCAACCCTTCCCTATGAATTTTTTCCACTTGCTTGGAATGCAGACTTCAGATTGTTTCTGAAACTCCACATTCAGATCCTTGAGTTCTTCAGTTCAGTCTACTTCCCGGACCCTAACTAATTCCCTTATTTTTTTTAAAGTTTGCCCTTTTGAAATCAAGGATCCTAGTTGCAGATCTATTTTTCTTTATCCTTCCATTTAAACTGAATTAGTTCATGATCACTCGAACCCAGGTTGTCCCCTATAACCAGTTCTGCTACAAGGTCCTCACTACTCACCAAATCTAAAATGGCATCACATCTCGTTGGTTCAGTGAGTATTTGGTGAAGAAATCTGTCAACTATCCCATCCAGGAAAATCTGGGCCCTACTATTATTGGTAGCATTTTTCCTCCCATCTATATCTGGGAAGTTAAAATCTCCCATAATCACACAATTCCCAATAGTATTTGTGATGAGTTCAGTCACAGAAATCCCCTTGGGACTGTCACTTGATGTGCTGAAATTACCTCTGAGCCCATTTTCCCTGACAGCTTGGGATTCCAGAACCCTGCCTTGTTGAGCTAGACACGCTAACCTGCTGCAACACAGACCCAGAATCTGGGCCATGCCCCCAAAGCTGCAGACTTTAACTAAAAAGAGCTCAACAGGTTACCTGTCTCCAGCAGCCAGACACCCAGTTCCCAATGGGATCCAAACCCCAAATAAATCTGTTTTTTCTCTGTATAAAGCTTATACAGGGTAAATTTGTAAATTGTTCACCCTCTATATCACTGATATGCACAGCTGTTTGCTCCCCCAGGTATTAATCACTTACTCTGGGTTTATTAATAAACAAAAGTGATTTTATTTAGACTAAAAAGTAGGATTTAAGTGGTTTCAAGTAATAACAGCCAGAACAAAGTAAGTGAGAAAGCAAAATAAAACAAAACACGCAAGTCTAAGCCTAATATAGTCTTTGTTAGATCCAGCAGACATCTCAGTTGGTAAGCAGGTGTTTTCTAATGACTGGCCGCCCCCTTTGTCCTGCTCCACCCCCTTTTATAGCTTTGGCACAAGGTGGGAATATTTTGTCTCCCTGGGTCCCCACCCCTCCTTCTAAAAGGAAAAGTACCAGATTTAAGATGAATTTCATTATCAGGTGACTTGGTCACATGTCACTGTAAGACCCCTAGTCTCCATTCCCCATGGGCTGGCCCACACGTACACAGGAAGGCTTTCAAGTGACTAAGGCCATTTACAACTGATTGTTTCTGGAGCGCCCTTAATGGCCTCCACTTAATATGTTTACATCAGTGATACAAGTTTATAGTTTATTCTCCTAACTCCAGATATAGAAATAACACACACAAACAATTAGGATAAACACACTTAGTAGATTACAAGCTTTCTAATGACACCATACAAGGAGTATTTAGCATAAAGTATATGCCAGTTATGTCATTCATAAGCATACTTCCATAAAGCATATGGAGTGCCACATCACAGTATTTATTTATTTAAACACATTAACGAGGTCTCTATTCAATAGCCACTCTTCTTAATATGGACCTGACACTGGAAGGGGCTAAGCAGCTCCTGCAGTGTGCTGAGCACCCTCGGCTCCTGTTCAGGTCACTGGGATTCGAGGCTCTCAGGGCCCCACAAGATACATCCCCCTCTGTCTATTTTAAACACTGCTTTTGCTTGGAGAGAACTTGCTGCTAAATCTGTGGGTCCTTCACTCCCCAGCCATGGAGTGCCCCCTGGAGAACAGCAAGTACCAGCTCTGTGGAACAGCCTGCCCAGCCACGTGTGTGGACCAGTCAGCCCCCAGCAGCTGCCAAGACCCCTGCGTGGAAAGCTGCCAGTGCAAGGATGGTTTTGTGCTGAGCCAGGACAAATGCATCCCCAAGGGCAGCTGTGGGTGCCAGTTTGAAGGGCGCCCCTATGCCCCCAATGAGAGTTTCTGGGTCGATGAGGTATGTGGGACACGGTGCATGTGCAACGCAGCCACTAGACAAGTCGAATGCGTGGCCACTACGTGCAAACACTCTGAGAGGTGCGAGCTAGTGAACGGCGTACGGGGCTGTTACCCCTCCAGCTACGCCACCTGCTCTGTGACAAGGAATATGCACTACGCCACCTTTGATGGACAGAGATATGACTTCCAAGGCACCTGCCACTACCAGCTCATGGCTCTGTGCAAGAAACCGGAGGGACTGGTGGACTTTGAAGTCTACTTCCAGGAGAACAATACTGCTCCTCTACAGATCAAGGTTTATCAGACCAACCTCAGGGTCAGCAATCAATTCCCTGGGAAAGTCCTGGTGAGTTGTCTCGAGTCTCTCTAAAACATTTCTAGAAAGTCACCTGTGTCATCAACACAGGTTACAGACAGTGCATAGAAGGATTGTGAAATATAGGATGAATGGTAACTGGATTCTTCTATGAGCAGGGAGAGGATGGAGATATTTAAAGTGTTGTCATTTCACTTGAGATGGGTCAGAAGGTGTCAGTAGAATCCAACATATGTGGGAACCTGGGGAGCTGGGGCTCAGGTTGAACAGGGAGGAGGGAACTGCAATAGCCAAAGCCAGAGGTAATGAAAGTCTGGTTGGAGGATCCTGCCCTGTCTGGAGAGCTGGGATTCAGGCAGGTTGTAGGAAAGGGAGCAGGGCAGACTGGAGAAAGTTTAACACAGGTGGATTTTTATTATAATTATGTGCTGGAGTGAGAGGTTCCACCTCGAGTGAGCAATGTTTCATATACTGAATGATTTGCTCTTACAGATGAATGATTTCCTGATGAACCTTCCCTTCAACCTCGATGATAAGAAAATCTCTGTGTATAGAAAGGGCTGGGCCACAGTGATCCAGACAGACTTTGGTCTCACTGTTACCTTTGCCAGGTGGTCAGGACGCATCACAGTCACTCTGCCAGTCACCTACGCGGGAGCCGTGTGTGGTCTGTGTGGCAATTTTAACAGTGACAGGGATGATGACATGCTCATGAGGGATGGTACGCTGGCACCAAGCCCCGTCAGCTTTGGTCAGAGCTGGAAGGTGGGCGACCTCCCGGGATGCTTTGCTGTAACGATACCACCATGCGCACGTGTAGAGGCTATTGAAAAGGAACAACGAGGTAGCAGAGGGCAGTGTGGGATCATCCTAGACAAGAGTGGCCCTTTCAGAGGATGTCACAGCAAAGTGGACCCCCATGGATACTTCGTAGACTGTGTGTACGGCTATTGCATCCTCAGTGGGCAGGAGAGTAACATCTGCCAGGCCGTTGCTGGCTATGCCGAGGCATGTCAGGAAGCTGGAGCTACGGTGCATCCCTGGAGGACTACGAAATTCTGCTGTGAGTCGCCATGTTCACTACTGATTGCCCCATGGGGCTTGTTAATTTTTGTTGGCTGGTAAATGTTGAGCTAAATGCTCAGCATATCCTGTTCTGCAGAATGTTTCTTAAGTGACAAAGAAGCCCTCTCTCCAAAGGATGGGTACAGTCATAGGAGCTGGCCCCTCACCGTGCCCTATCAATGTGCTGAACCCCAGGCCAGAGAGGTACTGTCTGGGAATGTAGTAGTTTCCTCTGTGGTCCGTCCAGTCCTTGGCTTCCCTGCTGAGACTGGATATAATCGGAGCTGGGAGACAGCGGAGTCTTAGTAACTGTGATGTCTGTCCACTAGGAACTGGTCTGGAAACCCACCAACTCGTCTCCCATAAGCCATCATCTGGGAATGAGTTTTAGGCACTACTGTCCTGGAGTCAAAGCAAAAAGCTAGTGGTGAAAAGCTCTACAGAACAATTCCAGGCCCACGAGCCCTCCACTCCCTACACCCTGATCTTGGATCAGATTAGAAGTCTAACCCTTAGAGAGAGATTGTCTATACTACCTGGTGTCTCTGGGGCCTAATTAGAGACCTGGGACCTAATTAGAGATGTTGCCCTTTTATTAATTAACTAAACTAAGGAAATAGAAAATTAGGAGCTTGAATGAAATTGCATGTTCTGTGATGGTTCATTGTGCACATTGCTAAAGCACTATGTGAGCTAACTCTTTGTTCTAATTACAGCTCCGTCCTGTCCCCTGAACAGTCACTATGAATTCTGCAGCAGCAGCTGCGATCTGACATGCAGCAACCTCTATGCCCCGGTGCAATGCATGACCCAGTGTAAGGAAGGCTGCGTGTGTGACGACGGCTTTGTTCTCAGTGGTGACCGCTGCGTCCCCATTTCCCAGTGCGGATGCCTCCACAGAGGACTTTACTACCAGGCTGAGGAGACCTTCCACCCGAGCGGTTCATGCGAGGAGCAGTGCGTGTGTCAGGCTGGTGGGGAGGTTGTGTGTAGGGAATTCTCCTGCGGTGCTGGTGAGCAATGCGGTGTGGTGGACAGCATCCAGAAATGCCACCCATTTGGATCTGCAACCTGTTCTGCCTCTGGCCATCCCCACTACCTCTCTTTCGATGGGGTCCCCTTTGACTTCCAAGGCACCTGCACTTACATCCTGGCCAAGACCTGCACCGATGCCAGTGACCTTACACCATTCACTATCAGTGTAGAGAAAGAAGATTGGGGCACTAGGAATGTGTACATGGCCAAGCTGGTGTCCATCCAGGTGTATGGGATCACACTCACCCTGCTGCAGAGCAAACAGGGGCTCATCATGGTAAGTCCTTCTCCAGATCCTCATTTAGATCATTCTTGATTCCATTTGGACAAGAGAGATTCTTTTCTCTTCTATACTGGTTTGTCCTCTCATGGCCAGAGGTCACTCTATAGGTGGCCTTCCTCAGTTTACCCTCTTGGACCTCTGAATAACTTTTACAACTTCTAATAATAGCAGCCCTCTTAGGGGTTTGGTTTATTAAATTAGCACACATTATGAATAAAGTTTTCAGATCCACCCATTTACCTCTTTATCTGGTCACTCCCAGGCATTTCCTGCCTGTCTTCTCACTTCCTGAGTTTCAGGTTTCCGTGCTGGAGCGTACTGGTCTGCATCAGCCTCTGCACTCTCATCTGTTTTCCCTGGGAACTCTTTGTGGTGGGCCAGCAGCTTGGCCTCCTCCAGCTGCTCTTATAGGGGAATCATGTGATTGGTGCTCAGGTGTGCCTCCTTAGTAATAAGGGTTGGCTGGCCTCAGGCCACTAGCCTTTAAGGGGCAAGCCACCCTGTTACAAGGTTCTTATTCCATGCTCATCACTGGAGTATTTGAGCATCTTCCAGTAATACACTAAGCAATCTGACTCACTTCTGTCTCCTATTTGTTCTCTCCTCCTCTCCCCAGGGGAAGTTGTGTGTTCAGTGGGGTGTTTTGTTGTGGATTTTTCTTAATAATAATAAATATACACTTATGTTGCTATGTATACATGTTGGAGAAGGGAGGACAAAGAAATGCACTTGGAGCAGAAGGTGGGGAGATTTGCAATGGTTCTTAGTTCCTGGTGCAGTTCATTCCCCAGTCTTGGACCAGCACCTAATAATGCTCTGCCATGTGTAGAGACAAAGTCTAACCTTCTTGCAGAGATTTCCATTGTCCCTTAGGAACGAAGTTGTTAGTCATGTTTAGCCCTTCTGCCAGATGGAGTGGGCAGCAATAAGGGCCAGGTTCAATATCTAGGGGTTCCTCCTAACAATACAAAACAGAACCGGCTTGAGCCTCTGCCCAGTAACCAGGGAAAATTAAACACCACACCTGAGTATCTCTAAGAGGCAATACTTTCCCTTTGACAAATAAAAAGGGAAAAGGAACCCAGCATGAATTTGGGAAAACCCCACAAGCACGATTTGAAAGCATGTGACCAGGAGCAAACACTCATCCCAAAGTACATTGGGCAGTGTCTTTTGCCTCAGTTTCTCACCTTTTAGGTGTTTAAGTGAGACCACAAATGTTCCTTTTTTAGCACATCACTCCCCTGTGCCCCACTCACAGTTACTGTCCTTCATAGAATATCAGGGTTGGAAGGGACTTCAGGAGGTCATCTAGTGCAACCCCCTGCTCAAAGCAGGACCAATCCCCAGACAGATTTTTACCCCAGTTCCCTAAATGGCACCCTCAAGGATTGAACTCACAACCCTTGGTTTAGCAGGCCAATGCTCAAACCACTGAGCTATCCCTCCCCTTGGTCAGCGAAGACCCAGAGTTCAGAGGTGTGTTCACATGAGTTCACCTCCCACCTCCAGGGGGGAAAGTGTCCAGCAATACCTCCACCGCTGCAGCTGCTGTGACTCACAGTTGCTGCCATTCACTCTTCCACCATTGGCCACTGTGCCATCAACTGCTGCCCCATTGTTTACTCTGCCACTGCTGTTGCCACCACCCCACTGCCACCACACCCTGCTACCGCTGTCTCTCTGCTGCGATAGCATATTCTGAGGTCCCACCACTTGACCCAGCTCTCAGTGATTTCGGAGGGTACCGGGGAACCTCACTGCTAGGGCAGGCTGTACAGTCTCTTACACTGCAACACTGTCCCACACACAGGCACCAACTTTTCAAAGTGCCCCAGGCTCCGCCCCCACTCCACCTCTTCCCCAAGGCCTCACCCCTGCCTGCCTCTTCCCGCCCCATTCTGCTCCCTCCCCATAGTGATCTGCGTCCTCGCTTCTCCCTTCCAGCCTCCTGCACACCACGAAACAGCTGTTTGTGGCAGGCGGGAGGGGTGGGGAGAGAGGGGGAGGCACTGATCTGTGGGGCCTGCCGACAGGAGGGAGGCACTGGGGGGAGAGAGGGAGCTTGGTTGCTAAGCATCCACCATTTTTTTCCCCATGGGTGCTCCAGCCCCTATGGTCCCACACCAGATCTAAGGCTCAGCGTCTGGTTACCAGTGATTTCAGCTCTAGCGATCACTGAACAATACAGCGGAGAGTCAAATGCTGTCTAGGACTCCTTAGTCAGCACCACCATCACCATTCTTTCACTGGGATCTGGCCTCTCTACCCCCTGCTTAGCAAGTGAGCTTCTGTTTAGGGGAACTCCTCAATCAGTCAGGACCGGGTAAATACCGTTCTGCTCATACAATCAGGATAACAACATTTCATTACCCCTCCACTCAAATGTAAAAATATTATTAAAGCTGATGTATATAATACACAGGTTAAGAGAAGAGTGTCTGTACAAGTGATTTGTAACCCAACAGCGGCCAAAATTGAGCACTTTGGCAAAGCAGCCCCCTCTGCTGCATACCTAGGCAGAGTAGGTATGTTTATGCAAATACCGTCTGTTCCTGGAGTCCTTTCCCCCAGCTCATTCAGACCCTGCTTACACATGGATTCTCTGGCTAGAGAATCTTGCCTGTATGCTCGGGGTTCTGCTGATCGCCATATTTGGGGTCGGGAAGGAATTTTCCTCCAGGGTAGATTGGCAGTAGTCCTGGAGGTTTTTTGCCTTCCTCCGCAGCATAGGGCAGGGGTCGCAAGCTGGAAGATTCTCTGCAACTTGAAGTCTTTAGGTCACGATCTGGAGACTTCAACAGCAGAGTTAAGGGAAAGTGGGGGGGTCAGCATTTGTGGCCTGCATCATGCGGGAGGTCAGACTAGATGACCATATTGGTCCCTTCTGACCTTAAAGTCTATGAGTCTATGGTTTTCATCCCCAGAGTTTAGCTGATCTTTTAGATACCCTGGGCTCAGGCCATTGAGCATCTTGAAGCTAAGGACAGAGGGGAACAGCTGAGATGTGGTGAAGTCAGCTCCCAAACAGGTGCAGGCAAAGAATCATAGAATCATAGAAGATTAGGATTGGAAGAGACCTCAGGAGAGCATCTAGTCCAACCCCCTGCTCAAAGCAGGAACAACACCAACTAAATCATCCCAGCCAGGGCTTTGTCGAGCAGGGTAAGGAGATGGAGGGAGTGGGAAAGAAAAAGGATCAGGAGTGAGGTCAGGGGCAGAGAGAGATGTGGGCCAGAGTGATCATGTGATACAGTGATCAGGGCTTTTACTGCCTAATTTATTGCAGGCCTGGAACCAGATTCTGATCTTAATGGCACTGGCGTAAATCTGGAATTATTCTAAAGTGAGATCTGGAGTTATACTGGATTTACGCTACAGTGTCAGTGAGAACAAAATCTCAAAACTCACTGCCCATAACCCAAACCCTACAGTATCCACTCCCCACAGCTCACACGGGATGCTCTATCTCTCCCAGGTGGACGGGGTGTCCCACAACCTGCCTGTGATCATGGCCGATGGGCGGCTCTGGGCGTATCAGCACGGCGTGAATGTCCTGGTGCAAACTGACTTTGGCCTCACCGTGAGCTATGACCTGGTTTACCATGCCAGAGTGACAGTCCCGGGGAGCTACCGTGGCCGGATGTGTGGCCTGTGCGGGAACTACAAAGGGCAGCAGGATGACGAGTTCCTGCTCCCCGATGGCAGGGTGGCCCCCGACACTGCATCCTTCGGGTCTGCCTGGGAAGTTCAGATCCCAGAAGCCTCCTGTACAGACAAGTGTGCTGGGAACAGCTGTCCAGTCTGCGAGGATGGGAGGGAAGATGTCTTCAAAGAGCACAACTACTGCGGGCTGCTCACAGCCCCTGATGGCCCTTTTGCCACCTGCCATGGCACGGTCAGCCCCAGCATGTATTTCAACAACTGCCTGTATGATCTGTGCCTGGGCAACGGGGATGTACAGGTTCTGTGCCAGAGCATCCACAGCTATGTGACAGCCTGCCAAGAGGCTGAGGCCCCCATCCAGCCCTGGAGGAGCACCTCCTTCTGCTGTAAGTGCTGTGATGCTGCTGGAGCTCTGGGACGCACTGGGGAGGGTCATAATTTCAAAGCATCTCATTCCAAACCTCTGGGTTTCCTCAGAAACTCCTCTGGATGGAAACCAACCTTAAATAAGTGTCCTGGTCCTCTCCTCCCAGCCCTGCTCTCCTCCCCTTCATGTCTCTGTACCTCTGGTTCATGGTATGAGATCTTTCCTGCCCTAAATTAATTCTCTCTCTATTTAAGCTTTGACCTGCCCAGCCAACAGCCACTACGAGATGTGTGCCAGCCTCTGCACCACCACCTGCACTGGAGACATCATGGACTGCCCGGAGACCTGTGCTGAAGGCTGCCAGTGTGACGAGGGCTTCTTCTTCGACGGCCAGGGCTGTGTGACTCTGGAGAGCTGCGGGTGCTTTGAGCGTGGGAGATACTACAAGGTATCGCCTCAAGCGGTCTGGGTCTGATCTAATGTTTGCTTTATCCACATCTTAATCCCTACACTAGCCAGGAATAGGGTTAGTTAGTGGATCAGAGCTTTGGCCCATCTAGCCTGGCACCCCCACTCTGCTAGTACCCAATGCCCAAACCGCCAAGAAAGGCAAGATTATTTAATTCCCTTTGTCTGTTGTCGGGAAACTGAGGCACAGAGAGAGGCAGTGACTTGCTCGTGGCCACATAGTGAATCAGGAGCAGATGGGAGGTTAAAACCTAGGTGTTATTTCTGGCCCTTGGTCCAGTGCTGAGCCCATGAGACAGCCTTTCTCTTTAACATTAAGAGCAAATAATATGATAACAGAACAGACACTTCACACACATCACCACACTTCTCTGGGTTTAGCACTGCCAGAAATTATTATAAATAATCTTTTCCCCATTGCACTGTGTTATTTCCCCTTTTCCAATTGTCCCCTCAGCCCAGCGAGACCATCCTGACGAATGAGTGCCAGCAGAGCTGCACCTGCGTTTCTGCCCGAGGGGTGACCTGCAAAGCCCACAGCTGCACCAGAGAAGAAACCTGCAAGATCAGAGATGGTATCATGGGCTGCATCAGCCAAGGTGAAGGAGAGTCACTGATTGAAATATGCCCCGAGGGGTTACTGTGGGTGGAATAACTGAGGTAGGGATGGGAGAAACCTGTTTACAACAGATTATTTATTACGCTTATTTTTCCTCAAGAAATACCCTTCTGCTAACTAACCAGCCTGATCCTGCTTAGCTAATCATAGACAGAGATAGGCAATTTGCAATTCAGCAAGAAGTTTGATCGTTACAGAGGTTCCCAGGGTGCAACCTGGACTGTGGGACTGCTGAGCCCTCTGTCCAACCTGAGGTATCCCTCTCACTATGATGCTGTTGGCAAGCTACAAACCTCTGGTGGGTACTGCACTTACACAGACATCCACAGGCAGGGGCACACTCAACTGAGTTACATGAATGCTTCTCCTAGCCATTCATGAACCAACAATAGGGAGGCTCCAGCCAATTCCCCCCAGCGCCCCAACCTTGCACCCCAGAACGGTACCATCTTGCCTTGGTCAGAAGCCTGACCAGTGTAAGTTCATTACCCAGTCCTCCCCTCCTTCGATGTGGAGAGGGGACACACTAGCCTTTATAAACTGAGCTGGTGGACTTCAGAGAGAAGCAGCATAAGAACTGAGTTGTGGGGAGTTAGGAGGGGAGGGAAATCTCTGAGATGAACTTTTCCTCCAATGGGAGTCACAGGTGCTTGGCACCTCTGAGCATTTGACCATTAGCACCTGCAGCTCTCACTGATTTATGGACTGAATTCCCTCTCCCAATGGAATCACTGGGAGTTAGCCAATGACAGGGGTGCTGGAACAATTTTTGCATTGGGGAGGCTGAGAGCCATTGAACCAAACTGTAAACGTTACCTCCACTGGAATCCACTTCAAGCCAGGAGGTGCAGCAGCCCCCCCAGCACTCCTAGTTCCAGCACCTATGGCTAATGACTTCAGTGCCATAGCAATGTGTTATTGAGGGTGCTCAGCACTTTGCTGGATCAGAGCCATAGGCACTTGTGCACATGCATAACTTGAAGCATGTGTGTAGCCTCATTGATTTCAACTGAGCTCACTTGATTAAGTGTTTCAATAGATTGGAACCACAGCTTCCAGCAAACCAAGTGCCGTTGAGTATCCCGGGCTTCCCAACCTCTCAGTGTCCTCTGGCTAGCTCAGCTGGTTCTGCATGAACTCTGTGCCCATGACAGGGCTGGATCTCCTAGCCTAGACACTGGACTTGAGTTCCCTGCCCTGTTGATAGAACTGGGCTTTTCTCCTTTCAGATCCCTGCAAAACCCTGAAATGCCGGATCAAGGAGAGATGCAAAATTGAAGATGGACAAGAGGCATGTGTTCCTGCCTACACTGGAATCTGCCTGGGCTCACGGGATGCACAGTACCAAACTTTTGATGGCCTGAAGTTTGACTTGCAGGGCACTTGCAAGTACACCATCGCTAAGTACTGTGGCAGTGACCCTACCCTGGAGTCCTTCACCATCGATGAGAAGAACGACAATAGGGGGAACCAGGATATCTCCTTTTGGCAGGTGACCAATATCTACGTCTACGGGTACAACATCTCCATCTACAAGAGGGAAGTTGGCAAAGTCCGGGTGAGTTTCCCAGCTCAGGGCTCTGCACCTTTTCTACTTATAACAAACAGTATTTTTTGTGTAGTATCTCTCACACAAATGGAATCCTAGATACAGGCGACATGAGCTGAATATATCATATGGGCAATACAAGTACATAAATGCAACTGGTCTTGTGTGTTTGACATGGTTGTGATAGATAGATAGTGTAGCTAGATAAATACTGTGTTTATTCAGGGAAAGTCACATTGATTTCAGTGATTCTTTTACATGCCGCTGGCTAAAGTGACAATGATTTACAGCCGAAATGAGTGGCAAGGTGACAGTTGCAGTAAGAACAAGTGAGGATGAAAGAGCAATAACACCTATCATACCTCCCCCCTCCTCTCTGTCTCTAGCTGAACAGTGTGATCACCAGTCTCCCAGTGACTCTGAAAGATGGTAAAATCAGACTGTACCAGAAAGCCCTCAGCACCGTCCTGCAGACGGACTTCGGCCTCCAGATCGCACATGACAAAAATTGGCGTGTAGTGATCACCCTCCCCAGCAGCTATTATGGGGCCACGTGCGGCCTATGTGGGAACTTCAACCAGAATCCAGAAGATGACATGACGTCATCCAATGGCACCAGAGTCTCCTCCATCATGGACTGGGCTGCCAGTTGGAAAGTCCAAGACCGGGACCCCTTTTGCTGGGATTATTGCCAAGGCACTTGCCCAATGTGTGATGAGAGCAAGACAGATCTGTATGGGGATGACAGTCACTGTGGGGTGATCAGTAAAGCACCGGGAGGGCCCTTCAGAGAGTGTCACTCCAGAGTGAGCGCCGATGACTTCTTTGACAGCTGCATCTATGACATGTGTCTGAATGAGGGGGACAAGAGCATTCTGTGTGAGGCGCTGGAGGCCTACGCAAAAGCCTGCAGGAAGCATGGGGTCACTGTCGATGACTGGAGGACACCATCCAGTTGTGGTGAGTCTGGCAGCTTGGTTTCTTATTGCCTGCGATAGCGGTAGTTAATCTCTTTATCTTGTTGATGAGCATGGGGATGGAAATATCCAGGATCCCCCTAGCAGTCATTCAGCCAAGAGCTAACCCGCCTGGCCCTGTTAGTTAATGAGATCTAAAACAATCATTGATTCAATTGGCTCAGGTACATATACACAGCAGCTGGGTGGCATAATTGTCAGCTCAGATGGACGTTCACACACTCGGCTTGGCATAGGTATCTAAAAATATCAGTGTGGATGCAACGTCACAGGTGACAGTGTAGGCTAACTGCCCAAGTCTCCTATGTATATATACTCTATAAGTGTGATCTATCTGGAAAACAGACTGTGATGGGTTGGGTCACAGAGACCCCGTTGGGACTGCCACCTGATGTGCTGAGACTACCTCTGAGCCCATTGTTCCTGCCGGCTTGGGACTTCAGTACCCTGTCTGTTGAGCCAGACATGCTAGCCTGCTGCAAACACAGACCCAGGTCTGAACCACGTCCCCCAAAAGGTGCAGACTTAATTGAAAACAGCTTAAGAAGTGCTCCTGTCTCTAGCACCCAGACACCCAGTTCCCAATGGGATCCAAACCCCAATAAATCTGTTTTACTTTTTATAAAGCTTATACAGGGTAAACTCATAAATTGTCTGCCCTCTATAACACTGATAGAGAAATATGCACAGCTGTTTGCTCCCCCAGGAATTAATTTCTTCTCTGGGTAATTAATAAGCAGAAGTGATTTTATTAAGTACAAAAAGTAGGATTTAAGTGGTTCCAAGTAATAACAGACAGAACAAAGTAAATTACCAAGCAAAATAAAACAAAAACATGCAAGTCTAAGCCTAATACAGTAAGAAACTGAATGCAAGTAAATCACACCCTCAGAGATGTTTCAGTAAGCTTCTTAAACAGACTAGACTCCTTTCTAGTCTTGGCCCAATCCTTTCCCCTGGTACAGTCCTTGTTCCAGCTCAGGTGGCAGGTAGGGGATTTCTCATGACTGCAGCCTCCTTTGTTCTCTTCCACCCCCTTATATACCTTCGGCACAAGACGGGAATCTTTTGTCTCTTTGGGTTCCCACCCCTCCTTCTAAATGGAAAAGCACCAGGTTAAAGATGGATTCCAGTACCAGGTGACATGGTCACATGTCCTGTGAGACCCCAAGCCTTCATTCATCCCAGCCTGACTCACAGGAATTCTCGCAAGTAAACACAGCCATCTACAGTCAATTGTCCTAGTTGATGGGAGCCATCAAGATTCTAAACCACCATTAATGGCCCACACTTTACATAACTACAATAGGACCTCAGAGTTATATTCTATATTCCTAGTTTCAGAAACAAGAATGATACATTCATACAAATAGGATGACCACACTCAGTATATTATAAGCTTTGTAATGATACCTTACAAGAGACCTTTTGCATGAAGCATATTCCAGTTACATTATATTCACACTCATTATACATTATATTCACACACAAATTGCCTTCTATGAGGAGATAACTGGGTCTGTGGATGAGGGGAAAGCAGTGGATGTGTTATTCCTTGACTTTAGCAAAGCTTTTGATACAGTCTCCCACAGTATTCTTGCCAGCAAGTTAAAGAAGTATGGGCTGGATGAATGGACTATAAGGTGGATAGAAAGCTGGCTAGATCGTCGGGCTCAACGGGTAGTGATCAACGGCTCCATGTCTAGTTGGCAGCCAGTTTCAAGCGGAGTGCCCCAACGGTCGGTCCTGGGGCCGGTTTTGTTCAATATCTTCATTAATGATCTGGAGGATGGCGTGGACTGCACTCTCAGCAAGTTTGCAGATGACACTAAACTGGGAGGAGTGGTAGATACTCTGGAGGGTAGGGATAGGATACAGAGGGACCTAGACAAACTAGAGGATTGGGCCAAAAGAAACCTGATGAGGTTCAACAAGGACAAGTGCAGAGTCCTGCACTTAGGACGGAAGAATCCATTCACTGTTACAGACTAGGGACCGAATGGCTAGGAAGCAGTTCTGCAGAAAAGGACCTAGGGGTTACAGTGGACGAGAAGCTGGATATGAGTCAACAGTGTGCCCTTGTTGCCAAGAAGGCTAACGTCATTTTGGGCTGTATAAGTAGGAGCATTGCCAGCAGATCGAGGGACGTGATCATTCCCCTCTATTTGACATTGGTGAGGCCTCATCTGGAGTACTGTGTCCAGTTTTGGGCCCCACACTACAAGAAGGATGTGGAAAAAGAAGAGAAGAATGAGGGGGGATTTGATAGCTGCTTTCAACTACCTGAAAGGGGGTTCCAAAGAGGATGGATCACTGTTCTCAGTGGTAGCATGTGGTGACGACGCAGGAAACAGAACACAAGGTTTGTTGATAGCCAGAGAGCTTTACAAGCCTCCTGCAAAAAGCCTCCCAGGAAAACTTTTCCTGGGGTTTTTATTCTTCTCCTTACTTTATTTACAACTTATTTGAGTGGTTACATTCTTGCTTATTCAGAAGGCAGGCAGTATACATGAGCATGAGATTACAAACTCATCTGTTGAGCGCATGAACACTAGCTGCAAAGATGTCATTGTTGCCAATAAGTTTTCCAAACATAGGCGCTAGAACAAGGTTACTCCTGCCTCATTGCCAAGGGAACAGTTTGCCGTTCTTCAAGGCTTATGATTAGGAAGCAACACATTCCTACAGTAGCAGATGACAGAACAAGGAGTAATAGTCTCAAGTTGCAGTGGGGGAGGTTTAGTTTGGATATTAGGAAAAACGTTTTCACTAGGAGGGTGGTGAAGCACTGGAATGGGTTACCTAGGGAGGTTGTGGAAACTCCTTCCTTAGAGGTTTTTAAGGTCAGGCTTGACAAAGCCCTGGCTGGGATGATTTAGTTGGGAATTGGTCCTGCTTTGAGCAGGGGGTTGGACTAGATGACCTCGTGAGGTCCCTTCCAACCCTGATATTCTTTGATTCTATGATTAGCATATTTTCATAAAATCATATGGAGTGCAATGTCTCACAGACTATGATGGAGTTCAGTGTTTCTCAGTGTCCATGGAGCATAGGGGGCTGTGGAACTTTTTTGGTGGTCTTCAGAGTGAAGCAGCTATAGATAATTGTGGAGTTAAGAGGGGAGGCAGCTCCATGAGATGTTCTTCTGCGATTGAAATGCATGGGATCTGAAGGTGCTTAAACCTCTCAGAATTTGACTTAGCACCTGCAGCCCTTGCTGACTTATGGACTGAAATCCTTTTCCCACTGGAGTCAATGGGGATTTGCCAATGAATTCAGTGCCACAGAAACAGCTTATTGACGGTGCTCAGCATGTTGCTGGATCAGCGACATAGAATCATAGAATATCAGGGTTGGAAGGGACCTCAGGGGGTCATCTAGTCCAACCCCCTGCTCAAAGCAGGAACAACACCAACTATATCATCCCAGCCAGGGCTTTGTCAAGCCAGGCCTTAAAAACCTCTAAGGAAGGAGACTCCACCACCTCCCTAGGTGCTTCCAGTGCTTCACCATCCTCCCAGTGAAATAGTGTTTCTTCTTCGAGTGCTTGCTCATATCAATTCCAATTAGGTATGCGCGCGCCGCGTGCACGATCGTCAGAAGATTTTTACCCTAGCAACTCTCGGTGGGTCGGCTGAGGCGCCCCCTGGAGTGGCGCCATTATGGCACCCGATATATACCCCTGCCGACCCAGCACCCCCTCAGTTCCTTCTTACCGCCCGTGACGGTCGTTGGAACTGTGGAGAGCTGCGTAGCTGACCTCCACATCCCTAGCGTTCCTCGTTGTATTGCTAGTTCTTTAGTGTAGTTGTAATTAGTTTAGTAGTTTAGGAAGTTTATAAGTTAGTAAATTTAGTGTATATAGTTGTAGATAAGTTGATGATTCGGGGCTTATCCCCGTTCCTCTCACCCGGTACCGGGGTTCATGCCCAAGGCTCCGGGCTTTAAGCCTTGCACAGCTTGCCTCAAGCCTATGCCTATTGGAGACCCCCATGACTCCTGTCTGAAGTGCCTGGAGGAAGCTCATCAGCCTGACAAGTGCCGTATCTGTAAGGCTTTCAAGCCTAGGATGAAAAAGGAGCGGGACTTCAGGTTAAAACAGCTCCTGATGGAAGCGGCACTTAGCCCAGTGCCCCCGGCACCGCGCGCAGATCAGGCACCATCGATCCGCAGCGCGCCTCCGGCACCGGAGCGTCCCGGTCCTAGTAAGGCCCCTCGGCACCGGACATCCCCGGCACCGACGCAGACGCGACCCCGATTGCTCTCATAGCGGCCCAGAAAGCAACAAAAGCCTGCTGCCCCCCCGCAAGGGCATGCACCTCCTGCGGTCCCAGCAGAGCAACGTGCCACGCCGGACCTGATCACAAAGGCCCCGACTCCGGCACCGTCGATTCCGGCACCCCAAGCGCCGTTGAGTCCGGTGCAGATCAGCTCCCCGGTGCACACCGTGGTTGAGCTGGGCCTGCTGTCGACTCCGGAGACTTTCTCCACCGATTGCGACCTGATCGTGTTGACTGAGCCCGGACCTTCTCAGCCTCCGGCACCGCCAGTACGGGCTGTCCAATCTATTGGGAAGCCCTCATTCATGCGGCCTCCTCAGCAGAGTGAACCAGTTTGGCACCGCTCGAGGTCCCAGTCCCGGTCCCGGTCGTGGTCCCGGTCACGTAGATCGTCCCGCTCTTGGCGCTGCTCGCAGTCCTGGCACCGATCTCCATCTCGGCACCGGTCGTACTCGCGGCACCGCTCCACGTCCCGAAGGTCGCCCTCTCGGTACGATCGGTACCGATCCAGCTTCCGGCACTGCTCATCACGCAGCCGGTCGTGGCACCGCCTGCACCGTCGATCTTCATCGAGATCCAGGTCGACCTCTCGGCGCCGCTATGACCATCGGTCCCACTCCAGGTCATGGTACCGCTCGGGACACCGGCACCAGTCCCCGACCCCCAGTCACGCGCCAGTGGACGGTGCCGAGCCACCTCAGTAAGTGCGCTCGGCACCGCCATGGCCTTCCCATCAGAACTCGGCGTCGTCCCAAGAAGGGAGTGCCTATTCGAGACACATGATCCCGACCAGGGTCCTCCTCAATGGACCTTCTGGACCCCTTGGGCATATCACCAAGCCCAAGGTGGTCCCTCAGGTGCCTCTCGCTCGGCTCATTTGGAGCCTAGGGTGCCTGAGGCAACAGTTAGCCGTCCTGCCCAGATACCGTCAGAGATAACGGCTTTACCACCTGAGCAGGCCGATGTCCCTCCAGTTGTGGACCTTGGACAACCGGACCCGCCCCAACCTGACCTTCCCCAGGACCCACTAGTCCAGGGACTGTCGTCCTCATCTTCGCCTGACGAGGCTGTGGCAGGCACGTCCTCCTCTGGCCCTCCACTCATAGACCTGCGTGCTCACCAGGACCTCATTCGTAGGGTGGCACAGAACATGAATCTGCAGATGGAGGAGGTGGCAGAGATTGAGGACCCAGTTGTGGACATCTTGTCAGCTGATGCCCCCACCTGGGTAGCTTTGCCCTTTATTAAAACTATCCAGGCCAATGCCAATACTATCTGGCAGTCCCCTGCGTCCATCCCTCCCACAGCGCGGGGGGTGGAAAGAAAATACATGGTGCCAGCCAAAGACTACGAGTACTTGTATGTGCACCCCCAACCTTGCTCCCTCGTGGTACAATCCGTAAACGAGAGGGAAAGACATGGCCAGCAAGCGCCCGCCCCTAAATCCAAGGACGCCAGGCGCCTGGATTTATTCGGGCGCAAGATTTACTCCTCTGATGGACTACAGCTCAGGATAGCTAACCAGCAAGCCCTCCTGAGCCGGTATAATTATAACACCTGGAACTCGATGGGGAAATTCAAAGAGCTGGTTCCCCATGAGTCCAAGGAAGAGTTTGGGGCCTTGCTCGAAGAGGGCAAGAAGGTGGCAAGGACATCTCTGCAGGCGTCTTTAGACGCAGCGGACTTGGCTGCTAGAACTCTAGCCTCAGGGGTAGCCATGCGACGTATTTCCTGGCTGCAAGTGTCCGGCCTCCCACCGGAACTGCAGCAGACTATACAGGACCTTCCCTTTGAAGGACAAGGTCTCTTCTCGGAAAAGACTGATCCCAGACTGCAAAGTTTGAAGGATAGCCAGGCCACCATGCGCTCATTGGGCATGCATACCCCAGTGACACAACGTAGGCCCTTCCAGACCCAACCGCAGCGCACTTACCCAACCCTCGACCACGACAAGACCCTCCTAGAAGGCGTGGTTGCAGCACTAGGAGGCGTCAACCTGGTCCGCAGTCAGGCCAGAATCAGGGCCCCCCGAGACCACCAGCGGGGCCCAGACAAAACTTTTGAAGCCGCGCTCGAGGACGGAGCACCAGTCTCCTCCCAGGATCCTTCCCTACCTTTCTCCAACCGCCTCTCCTGTTTCCTCCCTGCGTGGTCCCACATAACGTCAGATTGCTGGGTCCTTCGCACGGTGGAAACAGGATACCATCTTCAGTTTGTTTCGCCCCCTCCCCCTTCCTAAGGTGGTGTCTGCCTTCCATGTCAACCAAGACATCTTCCTTCTGGTCTTCTTTCCGAAGCCCCACGCTTCGCGACGGGAACAGCAGGGCTCTCGCCTTTTATATCAAATGAACTAAGCCCTTTAGAAAGACATCCCAGCTGTTTGTAGCAGTGGCAGACCGGATGAAAGGTCTCCCGGTCTCCTCGCAGCGAATTTAGTCTTGGATTACATCTTGCATCCGTGCATGTTATGACTTGGCGGGTGGCCCGACTACCCGGCTCACTGCCCATTCTACTCGGGCTCAAGAGTCGTCCTCCGCCTTTCTGGCTCATGTGCCCATACAGGAAATCTGCAGGGCAGCGACTTGGTCATCCGTACATACCTTCGCTTCCCACTATGCTATAGTGCAACAGTCCAGGGATGACGCAGCGTTTGGTTCAGCGGTTCTTCGATCCGCAACATCTAACTCCTACCCCACCGCCTAGGTAAGGCTTGGGAATCACCTAATTGGAATCGATATGAGCAAGCACTCGAAGAAGAAAAGACGGTTACTCACCTTTGTAACTGTTGTTCTTTGAGATGTGTTGCTCATATCCATTCCAAACCCGCCCTCCTTCCCCACTGTCGGAGTAGCCGGCAAGAAGGAACTGAGGGGGCGCCGGGTAGGCAGGGGCATATATCGGGTGCCATAACGGCGCCACTCCAGGGGGCGCCTCAGCCGACCCACCGAGAGTTGCTAGGGTAAAAATCTTCCGACGATCGTGCACGCGGCACGCGCACACCTAATTGGAATGGATATGAGCAACACATCTCGAAGAACAACAGTTACAAAGGTGAGTAACCGTCTTTTCCTAATATCCAACCTAGACCTCCCCCATTGCAACTTGAGACCATTGCTCCTTGTTCTGTCATCTGCCACCACTGAGAACAGCCGAGCTCCATCCTCTTTGGAACCCCCATTCAGGTAGTTGAAGGCTGCTATCAAATCCCCCCTCACTCTTCTCTTCTGCAGACTAAATAACCTCAGTTCCCTCAGCCTCGCCTCGTAAGTCATGTGCTCCAGCCCCCTGATCATTTTCATTGCCCTCCACTGGACTCTCTCCAATTTGTTCACATCCTTTCTGTAGTGGGGGGCCCAAAACTGGATGCAATACTCCAGATGTGACCTCACCAGTGCCGAATAGAGGGGACATATGCACTTAAGCACATGAATAACTTTAAGCGTGTGTATAGCCTCATTGATTTCAATGGAACTACTCACATGGTTAAGTTCTTTACTGGATTGGAACTGTAACTTGCAGCAAGCCAAGTTCTGTTGACTATCATGGACTTGCCATCCGCTCAGCATGCAATAGGGTGGGTAAGCTGGTTCTGCGTGAAGGTTGTGCTCATGACCAGTCTGGCTCTCCCATGCTATTATTATTGTTTTTAATTGATAACCCACAGCTTTGCCACTGATGTTTATGGTTTTATGGGAAGTCTAAATATAGGTGGGCAAGTGTTTGTGTTGTTGTGATGTTCCCCTGGTGTTATTTGGACCAGTGATCTGCTAGGTCACTCCAATCCTCAACTCTGGGAGCCAGCCTTACCCTGCTCTGCTGTGAGAACCCCTATTCCTGAGCTGTTCATGCACAGCCTCTAGCATGTAAGCTGCTTGGATTGTGCAACCGAATGACACTAGCCAATATCTCCAGTCCCAGACACAACCCTAGGAACCTCCATCTTGCAGTGTCCAGTTATGCGCGCTAGATGCTGCAAGCTTATATGAATTCATCAATCTAACAAAGAAATTGATATATCCCAGGCTTGTTCTCCCAAGGGGAGTCTCTGACATGCTTCAAACCAAATGCACTGCTTCAGGTAGAATAAACAAATTTATTAACTACAAAAGATAGATTTTACATGATTATAAGTCAAAGCACAACAAGTCAGATTTGATCAAATGAAATAAAGGCAAAACGCATTCTAAGCTGATCTTAACACTTTCAGTGCCCTTATAAACGTAGATGCTTCTCACCAAAGTCTGGCTGGTTGCTCTTCAGCCAGGCTCTCCCCTTTCATGAGTGCTTCTGTCGCTTGGTGGTGATGTCTGTAGATGGAGGTGGAAGAAAGAGGAGGAGCCTGGCAAACGTCTCTCCCTTTTATCATGTTCTTTCTTCCCTCTTGGCTTCCCCCCCCACACACACACACACATTTCAGGGTCAGGTGAGCTTTACCTCATCATAGTCCCTGACTGACCAAGGGAAGGGGGGTAACTCACTCGATAGTCCAACAGATCCTTTGTTGCTGTCTAGGCCGGTGTCCTTTGTTCCTGTGAGGCTGGGCTGGGTTTGTCCTGATGAGGTATGAACTGCCCCTCTGTTCCTGGAGAGTTTTGCCTGGGCTTGTTTTAAGCCATGAGGATACATTTTCAACCTCATAACTCTATACATGAAATTACAACCTATAAGATTACTATAATAACAATTATTATAACATTACTATAACAACAATGCTCAGTGCATCATGAGCCTTCCGAAGACACCCGACATGACAAACTTTGCACTGGATATCACACAATCATATTATAAGGATGAACATGGGGCTGCAGGGTGTTTCCCCGAGATTCAGAGTGTCATAGTTGTGTTGGGAAATTTTGGAAGGTGGTGAAAGAGGAGTGTTTGCTATGATGACGAGCTATGTGTTTGGGGTTATCATGTGCTGGCTGTGTTGTCGTGTTGGTGGTTGTGATAATTTGTATCGGGGGGGACTGGACTGAAGAATTTTGTGTTGAATTGTGTGGGTGACAAATGAGGGGTGTGTGTCTGGGTGATCATGTTTGGGGATTTTGTGTTGATTTGTTTGGGCATGTGGACTGCGTTGGCGAGTTTGTGTTAAATTGCATGGGTGGTGAATCAATCTTTAAAGAACTGTGGGGCAGTCTCCCTTATATCACTGACTCATTACACCAATGAAATTGTTGAGTACAAACTAGGTATAGAGTAAGGGTGGTGATTGGTTGAGATACCTCTAAATCACAATGGTCTAGGACTCTTGGCATGGCATAGGTACATGCCTTAATGCTTTATTATATATAGATGATGATTATGATTATTTATACTACTGTAGCACTTAGGAGCCTAGATACTGGACTTGAGTTCCCTGCCATGTTGTTATGACCAAAATTTTTTCTTTCAGATGCCTGCAAAGCTCGGAAATGCCGGACCAAAGAGACATGCCAGACTGAGGATGGCCACACATCATGTATTCCTGACTACATGGGAACCTGCTTGGGCTCAGGGGACATGCACTACCAAACTTTTGATGGTCTGAAGTTTGATTTCCAGGGCACCTGCACCTACACCCTGGCCAAATACTGTGGGAGCGACACCACCCTGGAGCCTTTCACCATTGATGAGAAGAACGCCAATAGGGGGAGCCAGGATATCTCCTTTCTGCGAGTGACCAACGTCTACATCTATGGGTACAACATCTCCATCTACAAGAGGGAAGTTGGCAAAGTCCGGGTGAGTCTCCCAGCTCAGGGTTCTGGCACTTTTCGACCTACAAAGCCCAGTACTTTTGTTTGTGTAGTGTCTCACATAAACAGAATCCCAAACAGATGCCGTCAGCTGAATATGTCACGTGAGCAATACAAGTAGATAAATACATCTGCTCTGTATGATCTGTATGTTTGAAAACCTTATGATAGATAGAGAGATAGAGAGCAAAAACAAGACTTTGTGGCTAGATCGATAGCTATTTCCGATAGGTAGAATCTATATAGAGATATAGGGAATTCTGAAAACAGATACTGTAGGTAGATAGTGAAGCTAGATAAATACTGTGTTTATTCAGGGACTTTAGATTGATTTCAGTTGTTCTTCTTGAATAAGGAATGAGTAAAAAGTGATTAAGGATTTGACCATTATTTTACTTGCTGCTGGTTAGAGTGACAATGAATAACAGCCAAAATGAATGGTGAGACTGCATTTGGAGTAATTGCAAGTGAGGACGAAAGAAGAATAATGCCCTTCATGTTCCTCCCCTCCTGTCTGTCTCTAGCTAAACGGTGTGATCACCAGTCTCCCGGTGACGCTGAAAGACGGTAAAATCAGACTGTACCAGAAAGGCCTCAGCACTGTCATGCAGACGGACGTTGGCCTCCGGGTGGGATACAACAAGAACTGGCATCTGGAAATCACCCTCCCCAGCAGCTATTATGGTGCCATGTGCGGTCTTTGTGGGAACTTCAACCAGAACCCAGAAGACGACATGATGTCCTCCAACGGCATCAAAGTCTCCGCCATCGTGGGCTGGGGTGCCAGTTGGAAAGTCCAAGACCGGGACCCCTTTTGCTGGCATTCCTGCCAAGAGAACTGCCTGACATGTGATGAGAGCAAGAGAGATCTGTATGGGGATGACAGTCACTGTGGGGTGATCAGTAAAGCAGCGGGAGGACCCTTCAGAGAGTGTCACTCCACGGTGAGCCCCGAAAATGTCTTTGACAACTGCATCTATGACATGTGCCTGAATGAGGGGAACAAGACCATTCTCTGTGTTGTGCTGGAGACCTACGCCGACACCTGCGGGGACCATGGAGTCACTGTCTATGACTGGAGGACACCGTCCAGCTGTGATGAATCTGGAAGTTGGTATTCTGACGAAACAGGTGGCAATGGGACTAATCCGACAGTTTCCCCTGTTGATGGAGGAGATGGTGAGTGACCTGTGTATGGGGATGGGAATATCCAGGTTCCTGGGGCATTGGGGTCTGCACAGAGTTTTAGGGTAGATCTCCCCATATTCTGTAGGATTTCCTTTGTTTGGTTAAGTGTACCCTAGTAGTCTCCCCTCGAAGAACTCTCAAGCCTGAAAAAATGACACAGGTAGCTTATCCGCAACTTGACTATAAGTGCAATGTATCTAGCAAGCAGACAATGGTGTAGTTCAGTGTCTATGGGCCATAGGAGTCTGTGGAGCATTTCTAGTGGTTTTCAGAGTGAAACAGCATAAGAACAAAGCTGTGGGAGATCCAGGCGTTAGGAGGGGAGATCCAGGAGATTAACTTTTTCTCCCATTGAAATACATGGGAGTCAAAGGTGCTTACAACTCTCAGAATTTAACCCCTAGCACGTGTGGGTCCCACTGACAGGCCCGCCGGCAGCAATTCCGAGCCCCAGGGCAGCTGCACTGCTGGGCGCGCTCTTCCGGCACAGCCAGGACTTCCACATGCCCGCCTGGCTGCCTTCGCTGCCGTAGGTACCACCCTTCCTGCCCCTAGGAGCCCCGCGGCCCACCTCGGTGATTTGAAAGGACCTGGGGCTCCTGGCTGCTACCGCAGCAACGCCTGGGGCCCCCTGGCCCTTTTAAATCGCCTGGGCCCTGGGCAATGCTCCCTTCCCCCCTGCGCCGTCAGCGGGCCTGCTCACTGATGTATGGACTGAAATGCCACTCCCAAAGGAGTCAGTGGGAATTAGCCAATTACTTCAGTGCCACAGCAATGGGTTATTGAGGGTGTGCTGGATCAGAACCAGGGGCATTTAAGCACATGCATAACTTTAAACGTGTGAGTAACCTCATTGAATTCAATGGAACTGCTCATACGGTTGAGTGTTTAACTCGACTGGGACCGGAGCTTGCAGCAAGCCAAGTTCTGTTGAGTATCCTCAGCATGCCTTGGTTGGTTCAGTTGGTTCTGCATGAATGCTCTGCCCATGGCAGATCTTGCTTCCCCACCCTAGGCACTTGACTTGAGTCCCCCACTCTGTTGATGTGACTGGGCTTTCTCCTTTCAGAAACCTGCAAAGCCCTGAAATGCCGAACCAAGGAGACGTGCAAGACAGAGGATGGCCACGCGACATGTGTTCCTGACTATGTGGGAACTTGCTGGGGCTGGGGGAACCCGCATTATCACACCTTTGATGGCCTGACGTTTGACTTCCAGGGCACCTGCACCTACACCATTGCCAAGTACTGTGGCCACGACCGCTCCCTGGAGCCCTTTACCATCGATGAGAAGAATGATAACAGGGGCAGCCAGGCCATCTCCTTTCTACGAGTGACCAACATCTATGTCTATGGGTACAACATCTCCATCTACAAGAGGGAAGTTGGCAAAGTCCGGGTAAGTCTCTGATTTCAGGACTGCACCTTTTGGACTTATAACCTACAATGATTTGTCATAGTCTCTATCCCTCACAAATGGTATCATAGAATCAGGGGATGTGAGAAAGACACAGGCAAATGGGAAGAAAGATGTTTTCAGGTGACGTTTCTAACCTGGACAAGGTGGGGCTGTTGTTTCAGGTGTTAGAAGATGCATGGGAGAAGGCTCTCCCTCTCATATAAGGGACCGAGAAAGAAAGGAACGAGGAGTACTTGTGGCACCTTGGAGACTAACCAATTTATTTGAGCATAAGCTTTCGTGGGCTAAAACCCACTTCATCGGATGCATGCAGTGGAAAATACAGTAGGAAGATATATATACACAGAGAACATGAAAAAATGGGTGTTGCCATACCAACTGTAACAAGAGTAATTAATTACGGTGAACAATTAGGTGAGCTATTATCAGCAGGAGAAAAAAAAAGTTTGTAGTGATAATCAGGATGGCCCATTTCCAAAAGTTGACAAGAAGGTGAGAGTATCAGTGGGGGCGGGGGGGGGGAAATTAGCATGGGGAAACAGTTTTTACTTTGTATAATGACCCATGCTAATTTCTCCCCCCCACACACTGTTACTCACATCTTCTTGTCAACAGTTGGAAATGCATAGAATCACACACCCCCCAGCATCAGGGAGCCCTGGGCCGCTGCTAGCTGCAGCAGGACCTGGGCTGCCCCACCCCAGGCAAAACATCGCCCCCCGCTGCCCCCCCCCCCCCCCCCAACAGCAGTCTTCAGGAGTGCCCACCTCCCAGCAGGTAAGATTTAGTCACAGGTATTTTTTATAAAAGTCATGGACAGGTCAGGGGGCCGTGACTTTTTGTTTATTGCCCGTGACCTATCCATGACTTTTACTAAAAATACCCGTGACTAAAATGTAGCCTTACTCATCTGACTTGCATTTCATCCCTTTGATCATCTTTGTTACTCGCCTCTGGATCCTTTCCAGTTTCTCTACATCCTTTCTATACAGCAGTGACCAAAATTGGATGCAGTACTCCAGCTGAGGCCTAACCAGTGCCAAGTAGAGCGATACTATCACCTCCCATGACTTGCATTCTATGCCTCTGTTAATGCAACCTAAATTGCATTTGTACACGCCATGATTCACTGTTGCAAAAAAAAAGCAAACATTCTAGGATGTATTAGCAGAAGTGTTGTAAGCAAGACACAAGAAGTATTTCTTAGGCCTTGTCTACACTGGCAAATTACTGCACAGTAAATCAGCTTTCTGCAGTGTAACTCCTGAGGTGTACACACTGCCAAGCCACTTAGTGCGCAGAAATTCCTCAGTTGCAGCATTGCAAAAAACCACCTCGATGAGAGTCATAAGCCTTAAAGCGCAGAGGCTTCAGCGCTGTATTGGCAGTGTAAACACATTACAGCGCAGAAAGCAATCGATTGGCCTCCAGAAGTGTCCCATAATCCTTCAAGTGGTCGCTCTGTTCATTGTTTTGAACTCGGCTGCCCTGGAGACATGCGCCCCTCCCCTTTCAGAGCTCCCTTTCTGACAGCCCTTGCAGGCTGTGCTGATCTGCTCGGAGACACAAAAAAACATTAATATTGAATGCTCGTGCTGTTGAACACAGAGGCAGGTGTGTGTGAGAGAGAGAGAGAGAGAGAGAGAGAGAGATTGCTGTGCACAGAGCTGGGGAGGGTGGCAGGGGCTGATGTCGGGGTTTCCCCCTCTCCCTGTCTCAGGACTGGTTGCTTCCTGCTGCTGTTTGAACTTACAAGACAGCATGCTGACACACTCTCTGTCCTCCAAAACACACTGTCTCTCATAGGCGCCAACTTTCTCCAGCGCCGATGGGTGCTCACGCCCCCCCCCGGCCCTGCCCCGACTCCATCCTTTCCCCGCCCCTGCCTCGCCCCCATTCGAACCTCTTCCCCAAAGTCCCCTCCCCAACTCCACCCCCTCCCTGCCCCTATTGGACCCCTTCCCCAAATCCCCGCCCCGGCCCCACCTCTTCCCCGAGCACACCGCGTTCCCCCTCCTCCACCCTCCCTCCCAGCCGTGCAAAACAGCTGTTTTGCGGTGCAAGCGCTGGGACCTAGGCGGAAAAAGCGGGCACGCGGCGCACTCAAGGGAGGAGGTGGAGTGGAGGCAGAGGTGACCTGGGCAGGGGGGCAGGGAGCTGCCCCGTGGGTGGTCCAGCCCCAGAGCACCCACAGAGTCGGTGCCTATGCTGTCTCTTCCCCCTCCATACACACACACACACACACTCCCTTTCACACATCTGCCCCGCCCCCCTTCAGTTGAAAAGCAGCTGGCAATGTAGTAGGATGCCCATGGAACAATGGGATTGGGAAACCTGCATCATATGACGCTGTGCCTGCCCCATGAGGCATTGCAAACTCTTCCCAAAGCATCCTGCGGCCAGTTGCACAGTGGGATAGCTACCACAATGCACTGCTGTCTTTGCCGTTGCAAGAGCTGCTAATATGGATGCGCTTCACAGTCACAAGGAGCACAGTGTGGACACGCAACAGTGGATTAATTCTAGCACTTTAATAAAAGTGGTATAACTTGTTGTGCAGAAACTTGCCAGTGTAGACATACCCTTACACTCTACTCCGCATTGATTAGGACTCAACTGGAGTATTGTGTCCACTTCTGGGCGCCACATTTCAGGAAAGATGTGGACAAATTGGAGAAAGTCCAGAGAAGAGCAACAAACATAATTAAAGGTCTAGAAAACATGACCTGTGAGGGAAGATGTAAAAAATTGGATGTGTTTAGTCTGGAGAAGAGAAGACTGGGGGGAAGGGGGCATGGTAACAGTTTTCAAGTACATAAAAGGCTTTTAAAAGGAGGAGGGAGATAAATTGTTCTCGTTAACATCTGAAGATAGGACAAGAAGCAATGGGTTTAAACAAGGGTGGTTTAGGTTGGACATTAGGAAAAACTTCCTGTCAGGGTGATTAAGTACCGGAATAAATTGCCTAGGGAGGTTGTGGAATCTCCATCATTAGAGATTTTTAAGAGCAGGTTAGAGAAATACCTCTCAAGGATAGTCTAGATAATACTTAGTCCTGCCATGAGTGCAGGGGATGGGATTAGATGACCTTCGAGATCCCTTCTAGTCCTATGATTCTATAATTCTATGTGGGGGAAGCACTTTTGCCACACAGGGATTAATAATAGCTAGTATTGTCTCTGAAGTGTTATCCATGGGCTTTACAGTTGATGCTCGGATTTGCTTAGTAGGGGCAGTGGAGTTTACACCATTGAGGGTCATCGTTTTAGGCTCTCTGCAGACTCAGGCAGATGTTGCCAAACTAGTCACACTTGGGGCACATTTGGAAGGTTTTCCTTGCAGCCATAAAAGCCAAAAAATATTTTAAACAAACAAACAATTAAATAAATAAATAAAAATGAAAGCTTAGATTCTGGAGATTCCCAATGTGTCATGTGGGCCATACAAATATATCAGATGGGTTGTATATTAGACACCTCTAGATAATTAGATATTATAGATAGATACTGGGGTGGGTAAATAATATAGCTAGATAATGTGGACAGAGAAATCAGTGGGTGGGTGGATTGATTGATGGATGGATGGTTAAATTCTGTAGGTGACTAGTCAATATAGCTAGGTAGTGTGGATGGATAGATAGGCATAGAGAATTCTGCAGACAGACAGATACTGTAGGTAGATATTGTAGATAAGTACTGTATACAGAATTCTAAAAATGTAGGGCCAGAAAGCACCTCAAGAGGTCATCTAAGTCCATCTCCCCGGGCTGAGGCAATATTAAGTATAGCTAGACCATCCTTGACAGGTGTTTGTCGAACCTGTTCTTAATATATTCAGGCCAACTCACATTGATTCCACTGGCTCTTCCTGAATAAGGAATGGATAAAAAGTGATGGCTATTAATCAGGATGAACAGGGATGGTGTCCCTAGCCTCTGTTTGCCAGAAACTGGGAATGGGCGACAGGGGGTGGAGCACTTGATGATTACCTGTTCTGTTCATTCTCTCCGGGGCACCTGACAGGGGCTATATTGGCCACTGTTTTAAGACAGGATACTGGGCTAGATGGACCTTTGGTCTGACCCAGTATGGCCATTCTTATGTTCTTATGATGAAGGATTTGGCCCCTTATTGTACATGCCACTGGTTAGAGTGACAATGAGGTACAGTCGAAATGAGTGGTGAGATGACATATGCAATAAGAACAAGTTAGGATGAAAGAGCAATAACACCCCATCCTGTCCTTGTCTCTAGCTAAACGGCGTGATCACCAGTCTCCCAGTGACACTGTCAGACGGTAAAATCAGAGTGTATCAGAGCGGCTTCCGCGCCATCCTGCAGACGGACTTTGGTCTCCAGGTGGCATACAACTGGGACTGGCATCTGGTGATCACCCTCCCCAGCAGCTATTATGGGGCCACGTGTGGCCTATGTGGGAACTTCAACCAGAACCCTGAAGATGACATGACGTCAGCCAGCGGCACCAAAGTCTCCTCCATCGTGGGCTGGGCTGCCAGTTGGAAAGTCCAAGACCGGGATCCTTTTTGCTGGGATTCCTGCCAAGAGAACTGCCTGACATGTGATGAGAGCACAAGGGAGCTGTACAGGGGCGACAGTCACTGTGGGTTGATCAGCAAAGCACCGGGAGGGCCCTTCAGAGAGTGTCACTCCAGAGTGAACTCCAGTGAGTTCTTCGATGGTTGCACCTATGACGTGTGTCTGAACAGGGGCGCTACGAGAATCTTGTGCCAGGCACTGGAGGCCTACGCAGCAACGTGCAGAGACCACGGGGTCACCGTCTATGACTGGAGGATGCCATCTGGCTGTGGTGAGTCTGACAGCTTGGTGTCCTTACTGACACGGGCAGGATCGGGCTAGTCAGTAGAGAAGCCTGGATGTTTTTCATTCCACCGGAGTTTTGAGGAAAAATGCCATTCTTGTCAAATTCAAAATGTTTAGAAAAAAGTTCAGATTTTGACAAAATTTAATTTCAAAAAGTGAGACAAAGCATGTCAATAACATTTCAGAATGGAGCGTTTCAATTTTTCATTTTGAAACGACTTTTGACAACAAAACTAATTATTTTTAGATATCTAAAACATTTTTTTAAAGTTTTATAAGGTTGAAATCAGAAAGTAATGTTTTGATTTTATCAAAATAAAACACTTCGATCGACCTGCAACAATGTCTGGGACAGGAATTTCATTTCCGTTCCCTTTCGGAACAGAAGAAAATCCAAAATCTTGGTATTTCCCATGAAATGGTAAATCTGGTTTCAGCTCAGTTCCAGTAGCCCATCTGGTCACTCTGTTGGTGGAAAGGATGGTGAATGACCTGAGCATAGGGTTGTGAATGCCTGGGTTTCTTGGGCATAGGGATCAACTGAATGACTCTGAGCACCACCTATTGAGCTCCCTACTCTGCTCCTTGCAGTACAACGCCCCCTAGTGTCACCCTTGGGAATTGGAGTCAGCACTGATTCCAAGGAGTGAGCATCCCCTACTGAGCCTTCCACCCCACTCCCTGAAGCACAGTGCCCACTAGCGCAACACTGGGGCATTGGAGTCAGCACGGACTCAAGTGGAGAGCACCTCCTAATCAGATCCGGCTCCTTTGTTTGCAGAACAGCGCCCCCTAGTTCCACACTGTGCCATTAAGGTCAGCACTAACTCAAAGGTGAGTACTCTTATTGAGCATTCCCTGCAGACCCTAAGTGTTCTTTATACCCAAGAGCTGACCCTGATTGACTCATGGCCTGTGAGATTTGGCTGCAGACATATATGGCCTTTTGGTTCCTGAATGCAGAAGTTAATTCCACCATCCTTTTCCTTTTGGCTGTTTCATGCAGGGTGGATAACGCACTGCGTGTAAGAATTTGTCTGTAGCTCTCACTGCGTTTAGGCAGATTGTTTCATTCATTTCCTGTAATTTTAAATCTCCCCTTTCCAACCCTGTCCCAGCCCTGCCCTGCCCTGAGAACAGCCACTATGAGGCCTGTGGGAACGCCTGCCCGGCCAGCTGCTCTGACCGAACTGCCCCCTCCTCCTGCCGGGAGCCCTGCGTGGAGACCTGCCAGTGTAATGACGGTTACGTCCTCAGCACTGATAAGTGCGTCCCCCTGGAGAGCTGTGGCTGTGACTACAACGGCCGCTACTACCAACCCAGTGAGGAGTTCTGGGCCGATGAGAACTGCCACTCTCGGTGCAGGTGTGACTCCAGCCTGGGCACAGTGGTTTGCAGGAAGACCAGTTGCAAGGCCAAAGAAAGATGCTCCGTGGTCAATGGGGTCCGTGGCTGCCATGCGATCAGCTACTCCACCTGCATAGGTACTGGAGACCCTCACTACACCACCTTTGATGGGAAAAAGTATGATTTTATGGGCACCTGCATCTACCAGTTCGCGGCTCTCTGCTCCGAGGACCCCACACTCACCCCGTTCAATGTCAAAGTGGAGAACAACAACCGAGGCAGTAAGGCTGTGTCCTTCACCAAAACAGTGACCTTAGAGGTCTACAACGTGACCATCAGCTTGAGCCAGGAGCATCCACGCAAGATCCAGGTAGGGACACAGGATCACTGGGGAATGCAGGAAGTCATTTCAGTGATCTCTTGACTGGGCTCTATGTTGTCTTCTTATCTCTGGAAGGGAGTGGGGTCTAGTGGTTGGAGCAGGGGGTGGGAATCAGGACTCCTGGATTCCATCCCTGGTTTTGTGAGGGAAGTGGGGTCCAGTGGTTGGAGCAGGGGGGCTGGGAGCCAGGACTCCTAGGTTCTATCACAGCTGTGGGGACTAGAAGGTTAGAGCAGACGGTGCTAAGAACTAAAGCTCCAGCATTCTACTCCTGGGAAGTGGTTTGAGCTGGGATTCAGACACTTAGGATTTTATTCCTCTCTCTGCCCCGGACTGGCTTAATAACCTAGGGCAAGTCGCTTCCTATCTTTGTACCTCTATGAGCAGGTCTACACTTAAAACACTGCACCGATGCAACTGCACCACTGTAGCACTTTGTGAAGATGCTACTACGTTGATGGGAGATCTTCTCCTGTCGGCATAGGTATTCCACCTCCCCAAGAGGCAGTGGCTATGTTGACAGGAGAAGTCCTCCCATCGACATAGCATTGTCTACACTGGGGTTAGGTCAGTGTAACTGCGTTGCTCAGGGGGTGGATTTTTCACACACTGGAGCAACGTAGTTATACCGATGTAAGATTACAGGGTAGACCTGGCCTATTTCCCCAACTCTAAAGGGGGTAATAAGATCTTTTCACTTCACAGGGCTGTTGTGAGTAGAGCTAGGCAAGTAACTGGTTCTTTGATACACTGCCAGTTCGGAAAATATTGACAAAAATTCTGTTCCACCTGAAAGGAAACTTTTTGTTTTGTTTCCAGGCAATAAAAAACCAAGGAAATGACGGGCTAGGTTCATGCAGTCGCCAGCGGTGCTAATGACTCCCTTTAGGCCAGTGGGTGAGCAATCACCTGGGATGTGGAAGACCTGGATTCCATTCCTCCTTCTGCCTGAATTGGAGAAGGAATTTGAATTTGCTGGAGAGTCCCCTAGCTACTGGACTATGGGATATTCTGGGGCAGGGCTACACTTAAAATTTAAATCAATCTAAGCTATATCTTTCAGGGGTGTGAAAAATCCCACCCCGAGCACTGTAGTTAAGCCAACCTAACCCCTGGTGTAGACACAGCTAGGTTGACAGAAGAATTCTTCCATCTACTTAGCTATCGCTGCTCAGGGAGGTGGATTACCTACCTCCATTGGAAAAACCCCTTCCATCAACATAGGACATGTCTGGACCTTGACAAGTCAGCAGCACATAGCATCCGTCATGTTGATATGCCCTCAATCTCTCCTGTTGAAGCTGTTCCACTTTGTATAAAATACTTAACTAGTCCCTGGCCCAGAGAGCAAGAATAAGAATGATTCTATACCTGTCTGTTAAGCACTCAGCTGGGGCAGGGGGAGACCCACATTCAAATTCCTGCTCTATTGACTAGTTAGTTATACAAAGTAGAACAGCTTCAACAGTAGGTACTAAATGTGAGACCGAAGTTCAATCCTGCTCTGTATCAGGCAGTGGGGGGAACTGAACCCAGGTCTGCCACATCCCGGGTGAGTGTCCTAATGACTGGGCTAAAGGTTATAAAGGAAACTGCTCCTGCATATGGCCCCTTGTGCATCCAGCCTGATTTTTTTTTCCACTACAACTATCCCTCCAATTTTTATCAAATATAGAAATAGTTTCTGGTCAACAAAAACTGAATTTATGAGCAAGTACATTATTTGTGAGATTTTTCACCCAGCTCTAGTCTTTAATGCTTTAACTGAGCACCACTCCTTGGATAGAAGGAGCTTTAGAAAAGGAAAGCCCTATAGTAAGGGGCAATGGGATGAAATATTAATGCACTAGGTTACCCTCCATCCAATTCAGAAATATAAATTCTGGAGCCAGACCATCCATGGCTGCTCCGTGGAAATGGAATTATTTCATGTTGAATGCACTGAGTGAAGTCCTTGACAGTCTCTACTGTATGTTTTCCAGATCAATGGTGTCTTTGTGGACCTGCCCTTCTCCCATCAGCACAAGTTCAAGGCCTACATCAGTGGAGTCCATGGCTTTATCCAGACTGATTTCGACCTGAGAGTGAGCTTCGACTGGTACAGCTACGCCAGGGTCATCATACCCAATACGTACGCCAATGCTGTCTGCGGCCTCTGTGGCAATGCCAATCAGGACCCCAGCGACGATCTGACCATGAAGGATGGAACTCAGACATCTGATGAGATTCAGTTTGCCGACAGCTGGAAGGTGGGGGAGGTCCCAGGGTGCTCGTCTAGCTGCACCGGGGACTGCTCAGTCTGCAGTGAGGCTCAGAAACAACCCTATAAGGGAGACCAGTACTGCGGGGTCATCACCCGACAGAACGGGCCATTCAGACAGTGCCACGGGGCTATCGACCCAGCTCCCTTCTTTGATGATTGTCTCTATGACACCTGCCAATACAAGGGTCACCAGGACACACTGTGCAGCACAATCAGCACCTACGTCACATCCTGCCAGGCCAGGGGCATCCAGATAGGGCAGTGGAGATCGCCCTCATTCTGCAGTAAGTGTCGCCTGCGGGACTCTGCTTTAGGGACTGGCTACTGCACATGTGCGCCAGCGCCCTCTGCAGGGTGGGGTCAGAATTCTTCACCCACCCAGTTCTGAGTTTTAATTTACAGTGTGCGATATCTTTGTTACAGATTCTAGCCCTAGACATTTCCAACATGCAATTAAAATTTTAGTCCCTGAAATATTTTTTTCATTCTGTGTCATTTACTTAATGTCTAGATGTCCTGTAAACTTTCTCTTAGAGCTCATCTTTTCTGTTCCTGGTGTTTTCATGGCTTGTCTACACTTACAGAGCTGCAGCTTCACAGATGCAGCTGTGCCGCTGTAGCACTTAGTGAAGACGCAGCCTATGCCAATAGGAGAGCTTCTCCCATTGGCGTAGTTAATCCACCTCCTTGCTATGGCAATGGGACAAGCCCTCCTGTCACCATAGCACTGTCTACACCAGGAGTTCGGTCAGTATAACTGTGTGGGTGTGGATTTTCCACATCCCTGAGTGATGTACTTATACTGACATAAGTCTGTAGTGTAGACCAAGCCTTACACTTTGCCTTTCCAGAGTAAATTGAATTAATACTTTGGCATTTAGAGAAGTAGAAACATTTTATAACATTCATTAAGTCTTGTAAGTCACTGCGAGATAGGTAAGTATTGTTATCCCCATTTGATCGGCTGGGAAAATTAGGAAAAGAGCTGGCAAATTATTTGGCCAAAGGTGTCCTCCATAAATAGGTAGCAGAGCTAGGAAAAGAACCCAGGAGTTCGGAGCCCCCCTGCTTGCAACATAATGCATGAATGCAGACTCCCACTATTCTAGTCAAGAGGTGACCCTTTATCCAACAGATGGGAATAGAACCCAAGAGTCCTGATGGCCACTCCCCTAATTTAATCACTAGACTATACTTTTCCCAGAGATGAAACTAGGACCAGGAGTCCTGATTCCCAGTCCCCTGCTCTAACCATATCCTAACGGATGTGAAAAGAAAGAGACTTTCAACAACATTGACCAAGATGATTTGTTAGTTCAACCACATTTCTCCTCACACAGAAATTCAAATTCTCTCTGATCTTTTTCTTCAGGACCCACCTGCCCCCTTAACTCTCACTATGAACTCTGTGGAATTAGCTGCCCTTCCAACTGCAACGACCTGTGGGCTCTAGATCGGTGTGACAAACCCTGTGCTGAAGGGTGTTTCTGTGATGCTGGATTCACCCTGAGTGGTGACAAGTGCATTCCTGTCGCGCAGTGTGGCTGTGTGCACCAGGCCATGTATTACAAGAAGGGAGAGGAGTTCTACCCCAGCGCCTCCTGCCAGGAACGCTGCCTGTGCAAAGACAATGGGGTCGTTGAGTGCCAGGAGGCCTCCTGTGGAGCCAATGAGGAGTGCAGGGTGGAGAACGGAGTCCTGGGCTGCCATGCCACGGGCTATGGAACATGCGTCGCATCTGGCGGATCTCACTACATCTCCTTTGACGGACGGGCCTTTGACTTCCAGGGCTCCTGCACTTACACCTTAGCCAAGGTCTGCAGCAGAGACGCTGGACTGGGAAACTTCTCCGTGGTGGTGGAGAATGAGAGCCCTGGAGGTGGCCACATGGCTGTGACAAGGACGGTGGTGGTCTCCCTGCATGATTACACCATCGCCATGGAGAGTGGGAGGAAGTGGAAGATTGTGGTAAGTCCCTGTTTGCGATTAGACTTACCTAGTGCTAATTGTGTGTGTGTGTGTGTGTGTGTGTGTGTGTGTGTGTAACCAGGACACCACTGCTGAGTCCCCACTAGTGACGGGTGAATTTCCCTCTCATTGGCACAGGTGGGTGGTGAGCTCTACACCCTCCCACTCACAACGGATGATGGGAAACTCTGGATCAACCAAGAGGGGAACTACATCATTATCCAATCAGCTTCTGGCCTCAAAGTCTTTTATGACACTGCCTCCTACCTCCTACTGTCCGTCCCCAGCACCTATAAGGGACATGTATGCGGCTTGTGTGGCAACTTTAACGATGACAAGAACGATGATCTCCTACTGCCCGGTGTGAAGAGTACCGAGAATGTGGATGAATTTGTTGCCTCCTGGAAGGTGCCTGTTGATGGTGCCACATGCTCTGATGGCTGTGGTGAGAAGTGCCCCGTCTGTGATGCAGCCCAGACAGCGCCATACCAGACTGAGAGCTCCTGCGGGCTGATCCTGGCCACCTCAGGTCCCTTCAGAGACTGTCACTCGATAGTCAGTCCTGTTGAGTACTTCAACCACTGTCTCTATGACATGTGTGCCACCAACGGAAGGGGAGAGACCCTCTGCCAGAGCCTGCAGGCCTATGTGGCTGCGTGCCAGGCAGCTGGGGCCAAGATCGAGACCTGGAGAACAGCCTCCTTCTGCCGTAAGTCTACAGGACAATCTATAATCTGTACTTCATTAACTTATAGCTGCTGTGGTTCTTGTGCTGTCGAACCTCCACAATGCCTCTGACTTCTAGGCTAAGTAGGAGCTTCTGTTTATTTAGGTGGGAGACCACACCTTAACTTGGCTTTCTGTCTGTGATGGTCGTAATTTTTCTTCTGTCCCTCCAGCCTTCGCCTGCCCAGCTAACAGCCACTACGAGCTGTGTACCAGATCCTGCGATTTCACCTGTGCCAGATTGTTTGCCCCTGCCCAATGCACCGGGAAGTGCTTTGAAGGCTGCTGGTGTGACCAAGAATATGTGTCCGATGGGGAGGCATGCGTCTCCATGGACAGGTGTGGCTGTGTGCACAACGGACGCTACATCAAGGTGGGTGCTGGGTTATTTGTCCATCTGTTCTCCCAGATTCTGCCATTCTCCTCTGGCAATGGGATTCCCAATGGGGGTTAGAGTGACTGTAGAGTGGCATGTCCTGTATCCTACTATGTGGCTATACCTAAAACCTAGAGCCAAATCCTGCCCTCAGGGTCACCCATGCGGCTTCCACTGCAGTCAATGGCAGCTGTACATACAAAACGTGGAGCCCATCATTTCTATTACAGGGATCATAGAATCATAGAAGATCAGGGTTGGACGAGACCTCGAGGTCATCTAGTCCAACCCCCTGCTCAAAGCAGGACCAACACTAACTAAATCATTCCAGCCAGGGCTTTGTCAAGCCAGGCCTTAAAAACCTCTAAGGATGGAGATTCCACCACCTCCCTAGGTAACCCATTCCAGTGCTTCACCACACTCCTAGTGAAATAGTTTTTCCTAATATCCAATGTAGACCTCCCCCACTGCAACTTGGGACCATTGCTTCTTGTTCTGCCATCTGCCACCACTGAGAACAGGGATGGTTTTCTATATTCCAGGACAGGCCTTTGGAATAACCAAAGCAAAAGCTGCTCCCAGAAGATCTTTTCCCGGCTTTACGCTGAGCTCAGAGCATCCCGTGGGGGTGTCAGGTCTTTGAGAGTTTCATTGGTTCTGTGTAATTGCCCATGCAGGGCAGACTTGATCAACGATGCTCACAGTTTATGGACCTCACTAAGCAGCCTCGGTGGCTTGATCTAAGGAACTGCCCAGTAACCTGGGATGTAACGTGACTCCCAGAAGGTTCTGAGCATGGGCTCAGATCAGACAGGTATCCAGATAGCCAGGTATTGAGATGAAGTTTGTTTGCAGGAGATTGTAAAACAGAGCTGGAAGGAAATACCATGAGGGAATGAAACTGTCTAGCATGTTGGAGACTGAGCAAGTGTAAAGTAGGGAAGTGTCTAGGGAATGGGAAACGGGCCATTCCCCTCCAGGGGGTCTAACCCTGATCCAGACCCAGGCTAGGGGGACTGACTGGCTTAGGGGTACAGGGGATGGGACACAGGGCCTTGCTCTTCTAGGGGTGCCAGCTCTGAGCCAGGCCCAGGTCAGAGGGACTGCCTGGCTTAGTGGGTTGGGGAAGTGGGACACAGGTCTTTTCTCCTCTAGGGGCATCTGACTCTGATCCAGCCCAGGGTTGGGGGATTGGTTGGCTTAGGTGGGTGGGGAATGCGAGATGGGGCTTTTCCTCTCCAGGGGACCAGCTCCGATCCAGCCTTAGTTCAGGGGGGCAGCGAGTGGAATATGAGGCTCTTCCCCTCCAGTCTGGCTCCTGGGAAACAAGAGCATTGACTGTGTGTAAAGAAAAGTGTTGGTGGGACTAAGCCTAATTTCTGGTTGGCAAATCTGCCTTTCACATGAAAATCAACACTGCAGCTGCCCCCCTTGTTGTCAGACCTTGGGCAGGGGATGTTGCTAGGTGTTGGGGCTTGATGTTATTAGACCTCAGTGTGGAGACCGGTCAATCCCATACCTTGCTTTCTTTATCGCTGCTGTATCCACCTGCTCTTTCTCTCTGTGATCAGCCTTGCTAAGCTATTGCTTCTGGAAGGTCCTTGACGTCTTCTCTCTATTGATCCTCTCACAGCGGGGCTTTCCCATAGCTCTATATATTGCTGCTTCCAGTCCCTCCTGCCGAGGTGTGATTCCCTTTGTGTTCACTTAACAAAGTTGTTTGTCTGGGTATTTCCCTGAAGGCCAGGGAGAGCTGTGTGTCCAGCAACTGTTCCGAGAATTGCACCTGCCACGCCTCAGGCGAGGTCATCTGTGAAGAAACAAACTGTACCGAAGAGGAGAAATGCATGCTCAGGAATGGGGTGCGCAGCTGCGTGAAGCAGGTGGGCCGGTGCACGCTGGCCCCAGGAATATGGTTCACCTCCTTTGATGGTGTCGAGAGGGAAGTCCTCCTTGATGGGGCCTACGAGGTGTCTTCCCTCTGCGAAGGGGTCGACCTCCCCTGGTTCCAGATGGTGGTCAGTGTGTTCAGAGAAGGTGGCTTGGCCGTTCCTGATGGCATCTCCGTTTTCTTCGGCGAGGATCTTATCCATGTCAATAAGAAAAAGGAGATTTGGGTAAGAGGAGGCTGGGTTAGCACACCCTAAACCAAGGGGGAGGGGCAAAAATCTGGGGGCAGGGGTGAGTCACTATTAAGATCCCTGCTTTATTGAAGGGAAGTGATCTGCCCAAAGTCATACGGTGAGTCAGTGACTGAGTTGGGAATAGAGTGCAGGACTCCTGTTAGGACCCTGCTCTAACCTCTAGACCCAGGGATAGAACCCAGGAGTCCTGGCTCCCAGCTCACCCCTATTAGACCCCACTTCTCTCTCAGAGCCACAGATTGAACCCAGAAGTTCTGACTCCCAGCCCCCCACTCAAACCCACTAGACCCTATTCCCTTCCAAGAGCAAGAACCCAGGAGTCCTGGTTCCCAGCTCACTCCTGCTCTAATCCACTAGACCCAACTCCCCTTCCAGGGGTGGGACTAAAACCCATGCGTTCTGAATTTTAGCCCACTCATCTAGCCAGTGAATTAAGCACCACACAGAGCTGGGAGACCCTAACCTCCTTCTCTAATGGTGAGCTTGTGCTGCCACCAATAGCAAGGCTGTTCCTGACATGCCAGCAGTCTCACCTGTAGTAGCTGTAGGAAGCTGTGGTGAGCAAAAGACCTTCACCAGGGTATTTAACCACGCAACCACTGGGATGAATGTTAACAGAATGTTGACACTCACCTTTGTAAACCATGTGAGATCTGTGGATGAGGACGATGATGATTTGAGTAGATCTAGTCTTGGTCCCAGCCAGAAACAAGGATGAAAAATGCATATCTGTGTTATGGGCAGGATTTTTGACAAATCATTTTTTGGACAAAATATGCCTCTTTGTTGAACCCAAAACTTTTTGTGAAACAGGCTTGGGTTTGACGAAGCTCCTAAGTGGAAAAAAACTCAGAAAAAGGATTTTCCCACATGCTCAAAATGAAACATTTCAATATTTTCAAAATGAAAAATTCTGGTTTTCCATTTCAGTATAACTTTGTGTTTCAAATTTTAAACGAATTAGTCTAAAAACAAAGTTAAAAGGAAAAAGTCAAAATAGAAGTGACACAACTTTACTGAAATGAAACATTTTGATTGGCCCGAAACAAACAAGCAAAAATTCAGATTTTTGGTTCGCGAAGTTTTTGAAGACTTTCCGTACTGATTCAGGACGAGAAAAAATTTCAAACTCTCAAAAACTTGTGGCAATACTAGAAAACCATTCCACCCCCCTCCAGCTCTAATCTGTGTATTTACAGACCTTAAAACAAACCTGCTTTGAGTTTGGTTCTAATGACTGAAGAAATATGTTCTGAGGGAGCTTGATATTCTCTGTACCAGTTATTATTATTATTTCTATTAAAGTAGGGGGGTGGGAAACTGGGAATCAGGACACCCAAGTATGGCAGCACAACGGGGCCCCAACTGTGATCAGGCCCCATTATGCCGGGTGCTGCCCAGACACACAGCGAGAGACAGTCCCTGCTCACCTGAGATCAGGGCCCCATTATGCCGGGTGCTGCCCAGACACACAGCAAGAGATCTGAGAGTCCCTGCCCACCTGAGATCAGGGTCTCTATCACACAGAGCATACAACTAAATAGACACAAAGGGAGATAAAGGATACATGGACCAACGTCACACAGGAAGTCAGTAACAGAGCCATGGACAGAACCCAGGTTTCCTGAGAACCAGTCAAATAGTTGTTCTGGGCTGGATCTCTCTGCCTCAGTTGACTGATGGCCCCAATTTATTGCCCTTCACAGTCAATATGATTAGATCTGACCCACATTTCTTCTGACTGAAAATGAAGCATTATGCTGTAAACTCGTTGGGGTGAAGACTGTGCTTTTGGTCTGTGTTTGTACAGCACTTGGCACAAAGAGGTCCTGAACCACCCCTGGGATTCCGGGTGCTGTTGCAATAGAAATAATGCCACTAATTACGGAAACATGAGCTAACGAAGACCATGTTAGGGTCAGAAAAAAAGGAGAGATGATTCCCTTAGTCACACCATGCAATGAGGAGAAGAAGAATTGGAAAGAGAGAGGCTCATCTCCCAGAGTGGAGGGGCAGAGCCTGCTCTCAGTTACATCAGTCTCAATCCAGAGTTACTCCCCTGACTGCAATGGATTTACTCGGGTTTTACACTTGTTTGAGAGCAAAATCTGACCTAGCGACTCCAGACCCCATTGCCTTGTACTGGGGTCCATAGACTATCTCTGTCTCACTACCTCCCATGGTGCCCAGCTTTTCTCTGACCTCCTTGTCTGTGCCTTCCAGGTGAGAGGGCACCAAAGGCAGCTCCCAGTGAACGTATCCAACTTGTCTGTAAGTGAGTCTCAGGGCACCATCATGATTGTCCAGGGCTCTAGAATAAAGATTCTGTTCAGCCTGAGCGGTGAGGTGACGGTGACAGTCAACGAGAGCCTGGCTAACAAGCTGTGTGCACCTTGCGGGAACTTCAACGGCGACATCTCCGACGACCTGCGGCTGCCCAGCGGGCAGATTGTGGGGAACATCACGGACATGTTTGAAGCTTGGAGGGCGCGAAACCTCTCAAGAAGGTAAGTGGCTCTTCAAAGGGCTGCTTATAGACAGCCTGGCTATTCACTCTCCACAGGTGTGATCATGTGGTTGGCTTGGTTAATAGATTCCCTACATTCCGAGGCCAAGAGGGGCTATTGTGATCATCTAGTCCTGCCACCTGTGTAACACAGGCCAGACACCTTCCTCGAAAGAATTCCTGTTGGAGCAGATCTTTTAGAAAAGCATCCAGGCTTGATTACAGAATGCTCAGTGCTGGAGGATCTACGATTGGTTTTTGGATGAAAAAAGTCAAAAATGTTCAAGGAAAGCTGATGCTCTCTTTAAAAATGATCATTTAAAGTGAAACCCCGGTTGGTTGTCTGTTGGCACGACAGCTTTGACGTCAAAATTTCAACCAGTCCTACAAAATTGCACTTCCTCCTGTTGGCCCTGTAGATCCAATGCGGCCCTGAAAGAGTGAGATGGTCCTGTTTTTGTTCCAACCACTTACGCCTGTGTAACCCCCCTGTATCCAATAGGGTTGAGCAGGTTCCCTGAAGGTGAACCTGTACTGCTGGTGTAACCCCCACACCTCCTGGGTGTGGTGTTCTGTCCCATCTAGTGGCACCGAGACCACTTAGAGAGAGAGATTAATGAGTCTGCTCTACCGCCTTAGCTAAGGGCCATATGGCTTTTAGCTAATGCAGTAGAAGCTAATGCACTAAGCTCCAGAGATCCCAGGTTTGATTCCGCCCACCGAGGACAGGGGTCTGTCACTGTTATGATGGCATTGGTGCCTAAGAAGGAAACACCCCAGATTGACTCTTAGGGTATGTCTACACTGCAATCAGGTGTGATTGCAGCTCATTTACATGTACCTGAGCTGGCTTGGATCGACTTAGCTTGCTAAAAATGGCAGTGACTGTAAAAATAGCCTGGACTAACTGCTTGAGCACCTATCTAGGGTCAGAGACAGGCTAATGGTCAGGCAGCTAGCCGGTGCCACCACCCCGATCAAAGCTAGCTCAGATAGCCCTACCCATGCTGCAGTCACCCCTCCTGATTGCAGTGTAGACATACCCTTGAATCCCAGAAGGAACTTTCAGGGCTGGCAGCTAGGAACCCCCAGCCCCCACCCAGCACCTGTGATATGGAAACCACTGGCCATGGCTACCTGCAGTACCACTTTTGTTGGAGTAAAGACAATGGCTCTGATTCTGTTCTGTGCCACCTTTGCTCTGCTTCTGCTTCAGCCCCTGGCATAAATTAGAGCAGCCACGGGCTGCTTTGGTTTATAACAGGGCTGCTTCACAGCCTGGATCAGCCCAGAATTGCTGCAGGCCCGCAGACTGTGAAGACTACCCCTCTCGCCCTATGACCCATACACTGGGACTTATGAGGTGGACAGCACAGGTCTGCCCCTGCCAGCCTTACACTGCTCTTTTCCTGGGGCAATTCTTCTTGTGTCATCTTCATGGCCCCAGAGCGAGGTGCGGGGCTGGGGCAGATGCTCTCAGTCATTGTAAGGACTCTGGGGTTCTCGATGATACCAGTGTCAGTGGAGTTCACTGGATTTCATTCCAGTTTGCTGGAGGGAGCCTCATCCAATATTTTGAGGTGGTTGGATGAAAAGTGCTGTCAATCTCAATCTGCTCTGTGACCCAGCAGGAGGGACTAATTTTTGTCTTTCTCTTTCTCTCCTAGCGATGTTTAAAAGCCACCTGAGCTGCAATGGACCCCTGCCCCCTTTCCCTTCCCTGCATTGGACTGGGCTGGCTGGTTACTCAGTAACAGGTCATAGCTTAGCACACAAACGTGTGTTCCTTCACGTAGGGCTCTCCCTGCAGCGTGGATGAGTTCAGTGGCGCCAGGTGCGTGACGGAAAATCTCATCTGGACTTGTCAATAGAGACGTTTGCAAAGGTGTGTGTGAAGCAGCAGGCTCTGGCATGCCTCGGGAAATGGCTTTCATGTTCCGCTTGGATCTGACTGTGCTAAGATCCCTTTACACCGCCTGTTAAGGCCTCTTTATGCTGCCAAAGTGGAATAAAGGAGCCTCAGCATAATGCGACTCAGGCTATTTGTCTCTCTTCTCAGCACTAGAGTGGTGTAAAGAGGGCTGGGTAATTGGGACTCCGGGCCTAGGCCTACTGCTGATACACTGCAAGGACTATGGGCGAAGGTGCTTAACCACAATCTCCCTCTATGTCCGCACTGTGTGATAGGCGATGCCTTTCCTGACCTGCTCTTCCTCCGAGACCCACACGCGGGTCATGCCCACAAATCACCCCCATCACCTCTGGCTTTCCTCACCAGGGAATTAACAGCACCGTCACAGAAAGGTCAGCCTGCGCCTTCTGATCGCTCACTGGGAGGCCAACTGGGTGCTCCTTTACACTGGCATAATTCCAGGGTCATTCCTGATTTACACAGCGGTGAGGAGAGGAGAATCAGGCCCATTTTCCCCATGAAGGAAGATAAGGGGATGTCTTAGGCTTGGTCTACACTTACCCCCCAATTCGAACTAAGGTACGCAACTTCAGCTATGTGAATAACGTAGCTGAAGTCGACATACCTTAGTTCGAACTTACCGCGGTTCAGACGCGGTCCACACGCGGCAGGCAGGCTCCCCCGTCGACTCCGCGGTACTCCTCTCGTTGAGCTGGAGTACCGCAGTTGACGGGGATCACTTCCTGGTTCGATTTATCGCGTCCAGACCAGACACGATAAATTGAACCCGGAACTTCGATTGCCAGCCATCGAACTACCCGGTAAGTATAGACTAGCCCTTAGTTGTTACCCATAGAAGAAGCAGCCAGTTCACAAATTCAGCTCAATCTCTTGTCCAAGGTGGTATCAGCTTGTGGAGCTATTGTGGGCTTTTGTTCATGTTTAGGGTTAATCTCCTGCTATAGCTCCTTCAAAGATGCAGTGGTACATTCTCCAGTCTGCTAAGTCCACTTTGTGCTATGTGGCTGGCCGGAGATAGCTAGTGGAGAACTCTCCCCGTCCAAGGGACCTATCCATGGGCAAATATCTAGCTACACCACTTCCTCCTCCAGCCACCCCAGCCCCAACGTAAGGGCAAGGGGGGCTGGGCAAGGAGGTGGCATTGTGTGGGTGGGCCAGGGAGGGGGGCAGGTATGACAGGGCCGAGCTCCACGGTTGGATGAACTGTATAGTGCATTTAAGGAATGTTGGCGATAAATACTAGAAACCCAGGGATCTGGAGGAACTAAAGAATGTGATCTTGCTCACAATCACATGCTACACACTAAGAATTGCCAAGCTGGATCTGATCAATGGTCTATCTAGTCTGATATCCCAGTCTCTGCCACCCTGGATGCAATCAATGGTCCATCTAACCTTATATCTAGAACTGATCAGAAATTTTTTTTCCCCTCCTGCAGAAAATTGTAATGAAAATGAAGGGAAAAAAATACCTTTAATCTCAGTTATCTGTGGAGAATTTAAACTTTTAATTGGAAAAACCCACTGAAAAACATTTTGGTTTTTGGTGTTTTTTCCACAGAAAGTCAGAGTTTTCTGCAGAAAGTGGACACTTTCCATGAAAAATGTAATTTAGTTGCAAACCCATTTTTCATGGATTCACCAAGGGCAAGTCATGCCTGACTAACCTAATTGCCTTCTATGAGGAGATAACTGGCTCTGTGGATGAGGGGAAAGCAGTGGACATGTTATTCCTTGACTTTAGCAACGCCTTTGATACAGTCTCCCACAGTATTCTTGCTGGCAAGTTAAAGAAGTATGGGCTGGATGAATGGACTATAAGGTGGACAGAAAGCTGGAAAGATCATCGGGCTGAACGGGAAGTGATCAATGGCTCCATGTCTAGTTGGCAGCCGGTTTCAAGCAGAGTGCCCCAAGGGTCGGTCCTGGAGCCGGTTTTGTACAATATCTTCATTAACGATCTGGAGGATGGCGTGGACTGCACCCTCAGCAAGTTTGCAGATGACACTAAACTGGAAGGAGTGGTAGATACGCTGGAGGGTAGGGATAGGATACAGAGGGACCTAGACAAATTAGAGGATTGGGCCAAAAGAAATCTGATGAGGTTCAAAAAGAACAAGTGCAGAGTCCTGCATTTAGGACGGAAGAAACCCATGCACTGCTACAGACTAGGGACCGAATGGCTAGGCAGCAGTGCTGCAGAAAAGGACCTAGGAGTTATAGTGGACGAGAAGCTGGATATGAGTCAACAGTGTGCCCTTGTTGCCGAGAAGGCTAACGTCATTTTGGGCTGTATAAGTAGGGGCATTGCCAGCAGATCGACGGACGTGATCATTTCCCTCTATTCTGCATTGGTGAGGCCTCATCTGGAGTACTGTGTCCAGTTTTGGGCCCCACACTACAAGAAGGATGTGGAACAATTGGAAAGTGGCCCTCGGAGGGCAACAAAATTGATTAGGGGTCTGGAGCACATGACTTATGAGGAGAGGCTGAGGGAACTGGGCTTGTTTAGTCTGCAGAAGAGAAGAATGAGGGGGGATTTGATAGCTGCTTTCAACTACCTGAAAGGGCGTTCCAAAGAGTATGGATCTAGACTGTTCTCAGTGGTACCAGATGACAGAACAAGGAGTAATAGTCTCAAGTTGCAGTGGGGGAGGTTTAGGTTGGATATTAGGAAAACTTTTTCACTAGGACAGTGGTGAAGCACTGGAATGGGTTACCTAGGGAGGTGGTGGAATCTCCTTCCTTAGAGGTTTTTAAGGTCAGGCTTGACAAAGCCCTGGGTGGGATGATTTAGTTGGGTCCTGCTTTGAGCAGGGGGTTGGACTAGATGACCTCATGAGGTCCCTTCCAACCCTGATATTCTATGATTCTATAATTCCTCTGCTGGGAGCCGGCTGCACAGGAAGTGTTATACTTAGAAAATGAAAACCAGCAGGCTCTTATTCAGGGGATAAGGCAATATGCCGCGTTTATTGTGAGCACAGAAAGAATCAGAGTAAGCAATCAGTTATAGCTACAACATTCCATTCACTCACACATTAATTCACACACATACACAAGTTCTGCAAGGTTGTTTTTATAGTTACCAGCCTAGAAGTTGCTCGTGCCAAGTCACTGGCCAGGTGGCCTGGACACAAGGATGGAGCCGGGCCTTGTCAGATGCACATCCAATGCTCCTGGAAGTTGGTTGCATAACCAGACCCAAAGTCCTGAGTCTTTAGGGTCTGTCTTTATAGGGATCCATCCTCATACAAGTCTATGGGGTTTACCTCATCATGCTGTTCTCACGTTTGAAGTGATAGTCAATCACGCAGATGGCACACCAATGGCGGTTCTCTTCAGTTCTTCGGCCCCCCTGTCCTTGGGGTAGTTGGGGGTGGATTCTGGTGTGCCCTCAGGGTTATCCCCTAGCGCATTCTTCGGCCAAACGGTCCTGTAGTTTATTATGATTCTAAGGGCTGGTCTACACTGCGGGGGGATCGATCCAAGATACGCAACTTCAGCTATGCAAATAGCGTAGCTGAAGTCGAAGTATCTTGGATCGAATTACCTGGGGTCCAGACGACGCGGGATCGACGGCTGCGGCTCCCCCGTCAACTGCGCTACTGCCGCTCACTCTGGTGGAGTTCCGGAGTCGACGGTGAGCGCGTTCGGGGATCGATATATCGCGTCTCGTTAAGACGCGATATATCGATCCCGGATAAATCGATTGCTACCCGCCATTACGGCGGGTAGTGAAGACGTACCCTAAGGCTGGCACCTCAACCTTTCATTACTCATCCAAACAGACAACCACAATCACACTCTATTTCACTTAACATATTTCCTATCACGTCCACATTTTATTACCTATTCCTTCTTTAACATAACCATTCTAAAATCACTGGGGCATGACAGGCTCCAATAGACCTATTCATTCCACTTGTAACATATGAAAAGAAAACAAGCAAGATAAGAATGCAAGAGTCGGGGTTAACAGATCTCATTCCTGAGTTCAGAAAAACAGTTGTAACAGAAACTGTCCTTAATGGTAATCTTATCACTTTAGAACAGGATGTTTTGGGATGTGCTTCTACAATTAACACAGACCTTGTAAACTGACAGGCATATTTCAAATACCACAGACTCAGCAAGCTGAGAGGCATATTTCTTTCTAATGGGCAGGCCAAATCCAGGGTCTGTTCTGGGCCATTCTTTCTCACACTCTCCCATAACATAAATGTATTTATTATTATTTTAATCCAACATAACTCCATGCTGGGATACCATGCTGGTAAGAAACTAGCCAGCCTTCCTGTCTGAATGTCAATGGAATCTACACGTTCCCGCATTTTCCAATGAAGCACCCCCATCAGAAAATCTGCAGCCAGCTGTAGCTAGGAACTGAGTTATTCACCATGCAGTGCAGAAGCAACATTATTAATCCTTCCCCGTGCTACGCATTATTCTTTCTATTAACCAATAACCATCATAGCACATAGTCACTGTCAGGGTTCTCCCCCCACTCTGAACTCTAGAGTACAGATGTGGGGGCTCGCATGAAAGACCCCCTAAGCTTATATTCTACAGGCTTAGGTTAAAAACTTCCCCAAGGCACAAATTCCTTTCCTTGTCCTTGGACGGTATTGCTGCCACCACCAAGTGATTTACACAAAAATTCAGGGAAGGGTCACTTGGAGTCCCAATCCCCCCAAAATAGCCCCCCCAAGTCCCTTCACCCCCTTTCCTGGGGAGGATTGAGAAATAAATACCTACCCAGTTGCCTTAGCAATGTGAGCACAGACCAGACCCTTTGTCTTCAGGACACTGAAATCAATCAAGTTCTTTAAAGAAGAAGATTATTTATAAAGAAAAAAGGAAAAGAATCACACCTGCAAAATCAGGATGGAAGTTAACTTTTACAGGGTAATAGAAAAATTTAAACACAGAGGATTTCCTTCTGGGTTTTGCTTCACAATTACAAAACAGGAATGAAACTACCTCTGTAGCACAGGAAAATTCACAAGCCAAAACAAAAGATAACCTAACGCATTTCCTTGCCCTACTCACAGTTTCTGTGGTTTTAGTTGAAGTATTCCAG